CCCTCAAAAATGCAGTTTCGGAGTGGACAGTGTTAAATTTTTGGAGACCGCATTAATGCAGACAGTAGTAGACTATTGAATGAGAAGGCAGTAGCGACCCCGCGTATCTAGCGCCAGAACTACCTCGTAGCTTACGTCGTTTTCTCGGTTTGGTCAACTGCTACGTACGGTTCATTCCGCAAGCCAGAGAAATTTTGCGTCCACCGACCGCTTGCATCGAAAGAATCCCAATAAGATAACTCTTACTCAGGAGGCTGAAGCTGATTTTTACACTATAAAGGATGCTATAGCAAATGCTACGAACTTGTGCTTCTTGAACAGGGAACCAAAACTTGACTTGCGAACAGGAGCTTCTTCAACTGTGGTCGGTGTAGTCATACATCAGTAGTTATACTGCCGTATTTAACCATTACCTTTCTTTTCCAGTAAACATCATCCGGTTCGAACCCGTTAAAAAGCATTCTCCAGAAAACTGTTAGTGATTTACCTCGCCGTGAAACATCTCCCTCACCCATCGGATGGACGTAAGTTCACCATTTTTACCGATCACATGACCTCGATTTAGTTTGGTATTTTCCACGTGAATTCGGATATTTTGACTACGTTTAATAATTCCCAACCAGTATCCCCTATGTTGATAGGACTGACAACGTCATAACCAATACGCTTTCTTGAACGCATATTCATAACTTTTAAATTCCTGGTATCGATTTTGAACAGTTAGCTGCGGCGCAGACGAATGACTGAATTATAGTCTAAATCTGAAAGACATGCCATTTCGTTTACGGATCAAATTTTGTATTCAGCATCAAACAGCAAGGCTCACTGCTACGAAATGTCTGACACGTACATAGAAATCTAGTTGGAGTTCTTCCGTTGTCCCGTGGATTCACCCGTGTCCTCACTTGTGTGGGCCGCCTTGCCAGTTTGACTACACCAATCTACATTAAAAACAGTATAACGACAACTGTTGTCCGCGAGTTTATAAAATAGTGGGAGTCATCATTCAATGTTCTCGGATATATTACTTCTGATGGTTGAGCACAATTCGCATCGTTTGCTTCAGCACTTAAGTCATCTATGGCGAGCAGCAAGCGAACACACCAATCGTGAGCGAACATGATTCAATTGGTTTACATTAATGTACTTCACGTAACTGTGTTCGTTCAGAGATTGATGTTTAGTGGGGCTATATATAAACTGACTTGTTATCCTGTTAGTGCTATAACCAATTAGTTGAGCAACGCTCTATCTGCATTGGGTCGGGTCGTGTCAGTGCAGATTGTTGACCCCAGTTGTGGTTCAAGACAACATGCGGAGGCCCTCAACACGTCTTTTTGAGTGCATTTACTTTCGTACTACGGCATATCATCCAGCATCCATTAGCCTGATTGAGCGTTTTCACTTTCAATTGAAATCAGTCATTAATGCAAAAGCTACATCTACAGACTGGACCGACTCATTGCGATTTATTTTGCTGGTCATGCTCGATTGCGTAAAGGAAGACCTTTACTACAGAACTTGATTTTGGTGCAACTCTGCGTCTGCCTAGTCAAACAATTACAACTTCCGATAAAAGTGTTGAAATCCCTCCTTCATTGTACGTCGACCGGAGTGGTTAATGAGGGAAATTCGCCCTGCACCCCAGCACTTGTTTCTTCGCGACAGACACTTTTCCAGCCAAATTTGTTTACCTTTTCTTATTTCTTTGCCCGTGTCGCTATTTTATAAAACTCTTATAAGCACCCAATGGATCACAGAATATTGTGAGCGCAGACCGTCGCGAAATTGCTTACACGGATGACAACAGTGTCCTCATACTCATGCAATGGTTTGCTGGCACTACCTTACAACCCTGCTAGTTAAGAGATAGAAACAACCCGAAAAACAGCGACAATACAGGTCACAGCCAATGTAACCGTTTGCTAGCGTCACGCCGGCCAAACGTGTCTGTGCGTTCGGATGAGCGAGTGGCTGATAACAGCGACCAACGCAACATGGGGATGAGTCATCGACACGATTACGTCTGTAAACAAGCTTCACCCACTCGCGATCGTGATGGCGTGTGCTCCAGCTCTATACCAGTTACACGCCTAAAGGGCGGAATTAAACCCTCGCTTAACTATATTTTACACTGAGCACCGTAATTTCAAAGGCTTTTTAGGCCCAATATGTATAATGACTTAAACTTGCTATTTCAACTTAACATGGAAATACAGGCATACACAAATCCATCCTTAAGAGCCTTATTATATTTTTGTGTGGGTCCCAAACATATCTTTATTGATGTTCACCTATTAAGCATGCATCACTTTTCAACTTTGTTAAAAAATTTTTAACGATGGCCCCAATCCTCTCTCTGCCAAAGTGAAATCTCGAACCAATCAGGTTTGTATTTAACTGACATATTGACGTTTTCAGAACAGCAAATATTGGTCCTGAAATTTGATCATCACCATTTACTTCCCATTGTAACTGTTATTTAAGATGCTCAATTTATGCAACACAGGAATTGTAAAAATTAGTACAAATTATGTACGACGAATACGTAATGAATCCGAGCCAGTGGCTTGAGAAATTCACATTTTTAGCATGTTTGGTAAGTATTAGTAAATAGAAATTAATGCGTGTGTGTTTGAGCCGCCTTGACAAAGTTGCTTTCATCGTAAATTTTGAACATTAATTTTCTGTAATTTAATAGTGAGGGTTAAAAGTATAAAAGAACTAATTCCCAAATTTAGCGTTTTCTCTTTACTTACTTCAAAAAAACATCAAAGGTCGGAGACATTTTGCACTAGGGGAGGTCGATTTGTGTTTTGATCTCCAAATGACATCAAGATCACAGTTTTAGTAGTCCACAGTAGTGAGTGTGCACAAATCTTGTATGTTACCTCCAATTGGACCCCATAAAAATACAATTTTTTCCGTCAAGCCTACCGCTTCGAGTGAATAGATAACTGGATAAGTCTACCAAAACTGCTGTTCTCCTTCACGACTCTCAATCCAGCCTCGAGAACTAAGAACAGCCTTTTTGAGATTTTATTAGCTGTGTGTCAGTTTTCTTGCCTTGCTAGGACACAGCAATACCAACAAAAATCGTGCTTATGGGGAGCGGGTCCGTTGTCTGGGCGGAACACGTGAATCGTTTTTTAATAATTGGACCCCGATTACCCCCAGGGTTGACTACTTCACTTTGTCTGCGAGCAGTAGTTGCTAATTGTTTTGGATATTACAAGCAGGTATGCCTACGTGATAGCTTTTCAGTGATTTTGTTGTGAATTGCGTTGGCTAACGCTCGTTAAGTCGGTCGCTCCAATCTCCAGCCCCGAAAAAAACCTCAACTCATACCGGATTTAAGCGAATGTTTATCATGGGTATTACTACGTATGATACCAAATCCACGTACGACTCGATTTTAGCACGTCAATGACTCATGCTGTTTCACACATCCGAGCTATAAATGCACACGGACAAACGCCACACGAAAACCTGGCTGAGTTCTCTAGTAAACGGTTGTCTCCATTTTGGTCTTATTCATCTATTTGGTACCAATGTAGAGCAATTGGGCCAACTTCAACGCAGCGGCTCTGGTGTCGTTTGAGACCACAATTCAGGGCCTTTAACAATTGTTGACTCCTACTTTGAACGTGTATTGACGATTGAAGGTCTTCTGGTGCGAATCGTGTGGCTTGGTCATTCTGTGTCCCACGCCCTAATAGAAAGGTCAACACACAAGCCTTTCCGCCCTCTTTTAAATCTCAGCATGTAATCGTTTTGCATCAACCACGTCCGTCTCCACGTCCCGATTTCACCTCGTCTCTTAACCTGTCTTTCACTTTATTCCCACCGGTATTAGCCTAACCTCATTAATCAACTCCGTCCGGCCCAACCAGATTCCAATCACCTTCAGGAAACAATCTGTGGCCTTACTGTTAGTTAGATTTCTAAAAATTTGAAAACATCAAAGAAAGCGCCAGAAATGGTACACTAAGTAATATGTGACTGCCGATATCTAGGGTTAAACGGAGCTTTCACGTCACATCACCCTTGATACCTCATGGTAAGTATCTGATGAACCGCATTTACTGGGATCTTGAGGTGATGATAAAAACAAAACTCCAATCAGTACTTGCATGCTATGTGTGGGTGTATTTATAAATTACCAACGCAGACACAAAAAGTTTAAGCAGTGTGCAACCACAGCAAAGATAATCATCTTTGGAATCGACGAATCCAGTCTACTTACTGCCTTCTCTGATTGGCCATTAGTTATGCACAAATCGCGTGTGACAATAAGACTCAAGTGTGTGTGTGTGTGCATGTGCGTTTGGAGTACAACCGTGTTCGCTTCACAAGTTTTCACTACAACTGAATACTGTAGATGTCAATGTCCAGTCTTAGTCACTGAGGTTAATAGGACCAACCTGTGCATGACGATGCAAGAATGCACAGAAGTTCTAACCCTGGTGCCGGGCTATATAACGTAACAACACTGAAAACGAGGAGTCAATTAAAGACATTTCCAGATGGTTTTCTGTTCCTTGCGATTTGACTGCCACAGCACCGGTTCAGATGTGAATTTATTAGGAGAAAAGCGATGAAGTAGATGTTTTTCGTGATACAAATGATAGATTTTGTCCTTTTGACGTAGACGACTGATTTCGTCGGCAATTAATTTCAGCGACTCGAGATAGTTTGCCAATATTACCTGTCCATATTCATTGTTTTGTGTTAAGTAAATACGAACTTAAAAAAACTCTTAGTTATCTAATAAACTTTTGTTGTTTCACATGATATTATCATTTCTCTTTAATTGACAAAATCTACTATCTTTAATTTTTTGCAGGATTAATTAAATATGTTTTATTTTCAGGTAAGTTAGTGTGCCATTCTGAGTCATGTTAGCTTGACTAATTGAACAAGAGTAAGTAAATTAAGCTAGCCACTAAGTCGTTAATTATTAAGAGCAAGACAATTTTATTTTACCTTGACAATACGGTTTAAAGGGAATGCGAATATTGTGCTTCGTCGTTGTTTTGGGTATTAACATAAGACTTGCTGCTTTTTGTGTTATTATTAAGCTTTGGGCACGCAGGATTTCTTGGTGGTAGGACAGGAAGGGAGTAATCACTGTCTTCAGATCCTTCATACTCTGTTGTAGAGACGTTTCGAAGGCCAAGTCGCATACTTGCTGGTATAATTTCCTGATGCCTCACGGGTCCCACGTAGTAAGGGCTGACACAACTCTCGTATACACCCTTGTCCGATTCAGCCCGACCGTTGATTGTGTACGGCGCGAGATCGGAGTAATTCGGGGCCTCACCGCCCATGGTAAATGGCCTGGTGCCATACGTCAGAGGTTTGATAAGGTGTCTGCGCCTTCAAATTCAAAGGAGCAAAACCTTTTAGGCTGTGTTAGGAATCTGCGCAATGCCAATACAGTTAGTTCAAATACATACTGATTGAGTCAAAAATTTCGAATTAACACCAAAACTTAAAATGTGGCAAAAGAATAACATCATGCGAGTAGAGGGTTTCGAATAATGCAGTGTTAGATATTATGCGATTTTATAGCGGATACTTGCACCCTTTTATTTATTATTAGCAATAGCAGAAGTGGATCGGTGAGCCTTGTAAACACACCTGTAACTATCTGGGAATCCCTTTGAACGTGGATCTTCAATAGGCAATAGCTGGACAGAATGGTAAACCTGGGGCATTTGAAATGAAACGCCTCCAATTGTTATTACCACTTTATGGGCATAGTGCATTCTAAGTGATCTCTAGTCACTGCGATTTTTTGAGCTTCTACATTATCTGATTAAAAGACCAACGGAATTTCAAATGACTATATTAAACTTGTGTAATATGCATTGGCACCATTGTGTAAGCAGGGTTAGAAGGGCTTGTCTGTTTCAACACTTATTGTTAAACCACATTTTAATATAACCTGCAGAAAGATTTTCCCTCAAGAGAAACCAAGTGTCATTTTCTTAGTCTCTTATAGTGAAACAGCCTACCTTAGGCGTTTTCGGATGCTTGTCAAAATACCGACGACGAGAAGTATAGGCGAGAAAATCATTGGGAGAATGAAGTTCATTGTCTACAGGAAACGAAGCATCATTATCACTACCAAGCCAGTAAATAACCTGTATGTGCTGTCTAGATGACAATTAGATAGCAATTATAACAAAAATTGTATTTAACGTAGGAAAAAAAGAGCGTCCACTTACGGTGGGCTTAACAATATAGTCATCTTTATCCACATAGCTAGATCGTTACATAGAACATAGGCGTCCTTCATTAACGAAAAGAATTACTCCAGAAACAAGGCGTTTTTGCTCCATCCTCTCTCTTAAAATTGAAACTCTCTACTATACTACTATTCCTTCCTTTAACTCATATTTGTGTGCTTTGGTAGTTACAACAATGATCGAACATGTTTCTGGGAATGAAAAGAGTTTTTCAGATCGCTGAAAGTGCAAACGACCAGCTGATTAAGACATTAAAAATGTTGTAAAGCTGTCTGAACCCCCAACAATTATGGAGAATAACTTAGTTTGTCTCATTTCGTTCCTGTAAGGAGACAAACCACGTAATTTGCTGGAAGCACACATTCGTCTCTGAGTCAGCACTTTTATCCATCTATGATGCTTGCTATCGTAGCCATGGAACGGCTTAATGACTTTTGATATTGCCACAGAGCCGAGAAACCCTCGCTTGTAAAACCAATTTCGATTGATCAGTACTCGAGAAATTCGAACTCAAAATGCAATCAATTTCTTACTAAAGCAATTGCTTATCAGCAAACTTGATATGTCAGATTGTAATGTTTAAATTGTAACGAACAAAACGCATCAAAACATAAACAGCGGAATAATACTTGCGTGAAGAAGACCTCACATCGTTTGCCAGACCAGCCACTCAGACATATACAAGAAAAATCGACACCGTTTGAGTGATCAACACAAACGCCTCCGTGAAGGCAGACCATTGACGTATTAGTCAAGAGCCTCTGACCGGCTATTTGGCAAGGAGTCGAGGTTTTGTTGCTGCACTGTGGCCCAGACCATCCCTTGTTGCACTTGCACTCGAAGCCACTTCTTTGCGACTTCGAGGGCATGCATGTGCCATGACCCGAGCAGTCTTCAATGGCGCAGATCTAGCAGAATCAAAATAACCGAGAACATGAAGAAGACAACGGAGCCAGTAGTTATTTGAATAATTTTTCTTCCATTTTTTCAAACTTTTTTGCAAATATTCCTGTAATTAATGTGAGTAGTGTATATGCACGAGGTAACCGTGTAGTACAAATCAATCCTATTTACTAATAAAGTATTGATCGATGATTCTAATAAACATGTTTTGATATTTTTTGCACTTTTGCATGTAATTGAAGGCCAGCAGCAAAAGAATAGAACTGGTTACTACAGGGTGAGCATGTCACCTTACTAAATTGTTGTTTCAGACCGTGGATGAGGTGCTTTCAATATGACATTGCTTAGTGCAAAACTGAAAATATTCCTAACAATGTGGATAGCCGTTTAAACACAGCACAACCACCAATTCGGCATTGTTTATTATTTTTTTTGCAACCTGCGATTCTAAGGCCAGACATGGTGTTTAGTCAAACCAAACGCGATATTTTTTGCTATTCGATTGTAATATCTTTGGCTGCCTAATCCTGGTTTTTTTAGCGGGTATGGAGCTAAAGGACCTGACACCAACCCCCATCCGCACCCGTAAGTGCAAAACGTACGTGATTTGTGTATCCGACTAGCTACACTTCTTTGTAGTCGTTTTTACATATAAGATCTCCTCTACCGAACACTGTTCAGGCACTGACATCAAAACCGCTACAGTTTGCAAACAAAACTGCAACTCAAGCAATTCAAACTCACACTGTTTCGAGGTATCCTTTGTTTAAATGGTAGCCATGTACATGCTTTTGACGTCTTTTTAATCCACAGTTTAAAAAATAGAAAAATTGAAGTGGAAAAGTGCAAGTTATCCCTTCATGAAATGATACAGAGCAGTCAGGTATAATTCGTACTACATAACTTGTAACTGATATTATTAGCTCCGAAAAAATACCAGTTTCAGTTAATACTTATATTAATGACTAACTCACATTAAATATCTCACACCTAGGTCCTGTCCACAAATGAGGACACTGGCAGTAATAGTTGCTTTCGTTGCCATTGCGACAAATGCCACCGTTAAGACAAACAGGCATCTGCCCCAGCAACTGGGTTGCTTGTTCACATGACTTGACCTCCTGGTTGCAGTGACGTCCACCCCAACCGAGGTCGCATTCACAGAAGTAATCTGGTCCATCCGCCACGCACCTCCCGTGTGCACCGCAGACTGAGTTTTCTAAACAGGGGTCATAGCCCTTCTCGCAAACAGTGCCTGGAAATGTGTAATACGATGTGCAGTCCCCTTGAAAGAGGTACTACCACAGGCCCAAATATAGGACAGGTTCTGCTGCCATTTCATTGGTAGACTAATGAGAACAAAAAGCTCTTTTTAAAGAATGTGAAGTTCCCATGAGGCTAAATCCTCGAAAGCAGACTTCTGTGGATAACGTTTAAGGGAAGCCATGAAATCGTAATGTTAGGAGTTGAGTGCAAAGAACACCTTAAACGTGACTTATCCATGATTTGGCAAAAGACACTGTTTTCCTCCTTCAACATGGTGTATTTTTTTCGAAAACAGTAGCTGATGGACAAATGCAAACACTAGAATGCCACCACATCAAAATCTCTAGCCTACTTTAGGTTCTTTAATGCTTCTTTCGCTTTTGCAGCGGAAAAATATGCTGGTACTAGTAAGAGTCTGTAGAACTACTAATTCCTAGAATTTTAAGTTTCATTTCTATATGCGACAATCATCTAATAGATCGTCTATCGGACACTTCAAAGCCTTCTTAGCCTCCGATAGGAATGTCTGTACGTAACAGGCGGGATTTCTTTCAAAATTGACTGGATTTAGGAATAGAAAACAAAGAAAGTAAAAGATCGGTAAAGTCAAGTTAACTGAGCAGAGCAGCCCTTAAAATAGCTCATGTTGTTAAAAGTCACTTCGTATTTAATTTCATCGATGTGGTTCAAATTGCAGTTTTGAATTTGCAATAACCGATGTGAAAGAAGCAGCCGAAATGATGTGGGTATCTTGAAAGGAACCCTTTAACGGAGCATCTCGTTGTAACTTCATTTTAAAGCAGGTTCAATGCAAAACAATGAATTTACTAAAGTAAAATGTACCACATTGGTCGTGATGCTGACGTTGTACAGCAGGTGGGCTTGTGTATGTGTATACATTGCGCACTTTTGCTGACAATCTCAAAATTACTAACGATAGAAATAGCATTTCCCTAGATTCCTTTCAACAATTTAGAAGCAGATGTCTCTTTCTTTAATAGAAGAAATCCTCTATCTGATAATAGTAACCGCATTACCTATTTTGAGTACAACATTTCAGTACTCTTTTAACCCACCTGATCAAAATTGCAAATTCTGGCCACCTAAATGTTTACAGGAAGCCATTTAGAAGATCTTGATACATTCAATTTTAATAAAATAAAAGGGTTTTTTACGAGGGCAGTGCAAAATGAGCTCCGAAGATTTTTATTAAAGAAAAGAAGTGCCAGAAATCAAGAAGTAGGTTAGAAACAAGTGTTGTGGCCCAATACCACGCGACGTACCCAAGGAAGAAATAAAACCAGAGATGGCAGACTTGACTGTCTACTAGATAGTTTCACGTCCTTGTGTTGAGGTAGTGCATGATTCTCGTGTTTTGCTGACTGATTTGGTTGAGTGGACTGATGAAACTACAGACGCCTGGATGGCCAAATGGATAAAGCGGGTGGTGGTGGTGGTGGGCATGCAAACGGGTGACTAACGGGGGCCGTGTGGATGAGGCTGTCACGACTGGGTTATTGGCCGTAAATCAACACGATTCACTACACCACACTATGTTAAAAGATATTCAAAACATGCAAAATACGAAACAAACGATGCTTTGGTACTAACCCGACACGGATAATGCTTCTGCGCATTTTATTTTCGTCAACTTTACCAAAGCCTCAAGTTCCAGTTGTTTCTTACGTTGAAGGTTGAATTGCTAGGTGTGCACTAGTGATTTCCTCAAGCATTCATGTGGATATGCAGGCGCATACAAAATAGTTTAGTTCTGAGTATTCGAGTATAAGATAAGTTCCTAAGTAGAGAGGGATATCATCACCCAACTACTACTAATTACGCTGGATTCCCTCGCTTTCTAATAATATTATGAAAGTTACGAGCCTCACGGACGTGGTTCACAAAATCGTTATTCAGGCCTGGACAACTTCTTTGTCCTGACGACCATCCTCAACAAGCCATTGGCCACTCAACAAGGGAATGCTCCAGCAGGACTCGAACCCGCAGTTTGACTGGGGGCAGGTGAACATATCACCTTCGAATGACTCGAACTGCCACCAGAATTTAACTAGTAGTCATAGGTTCAAAATAATGTAAATTTAAAGTATAACATCTGGCAAGGTAAATTTAATCTAAAACAATGGCAGTAGATTGGTCGACTGCCCTAAGGATTAAGAAAAATTTCGATCGTTGCTGGAAGTATTTTCAGCAGAGTGTTAAAACAACTGCAAAGGAGGATTAAAGGGTCGAAATGACAGCCCTAGTCTGGTGTCATGATTCCCTCAGTTAGTCTTCTGTCTAGTCTCATGAATATTGAAATGCATTTGGCTGACTTACCCTCCTTCCCTCTGCACACGCACTTGTATCCATCTTCCAGGGTTTGACACGTGGCATAAACAGCGCAGTTGTTTTCAACGCAACGATCAATCTGATCACAAGTTGGGCCTGTCAATCCTGCAAGACAATAACATTTCGGCCAACATCAAAGCCTGTGTGAATCTTTTTACTGCTAAATGGCCCGATTTAAACCTTGTTCTGTTTAACAAATAGGAGAAGCTGTGAGACAGCCAATGTCATAAATGGCGCATTTGGAAAACTTCACGAATGTGTTTCTGTAACATTTTGTACAACTTTATTCCTCACCATCGTCACTATTTTTTTGGTTATGAAAACTTAGAACACGTGTTTATCCCCTTAATTACCAGACTGTATTCTTTTAGTGCGTTTGTTTTAATTACCAATAACAAGGTTTATCCCGATGGTATTCATTAAACTGAGCATCATTTATTCTGTAAACTTTAAAATAAACTCGAAACCTGCCTTTTTCACAGATGAAATTCCCCTTTTTATCACACGTATTTATACCTTCCCGGGGGCTGCATATGATGTTGCATTGATTATCACCCCTTGGTCCCACGCATTGCAAACGCACCACAGCTTGTAATCTCAAAAGAGATTTGTGTTTGTTAGTAAAGTTAAGGGCTGAAACCGTACAAGTAACTTTGCTTTAGTTGAAGGATGCTGCTACTCTAGCTTTGAATTTTTGAAAAACCGAGTTGGAAGAAAGGTCAACGAGGGGCAAAAAACAATGACTGATGCATCACAAAAAATACCGAAAGGTGTGATTATTTGCATGGACCACCGCAGTGTAGAGGAAGACTATTTTTGTCCTAAATAAAGGTAATCTGAGAAAAATTTAGACTAAAAGTATTTAATATAAATAATGACGAGTTCATCTGGGTGAATATATGATAAAATATGATAAGGATAAATGAGGCAGTCATTCAATTGACACTGCTGAATAAAATTTACGCATAAAAACCGGTTCAAATCTAATAAACGCGTGTTCATAATTGACCTAAACTTATTCCAAAAATGTCTTATTAAATTTTTTGGTTAAATGCATCTTTATGTTAGCAATGTTCATTACTTACAATGCAATTTTTCATTTAGATGCAAAATTTACAAACGATTACACCGGCGTTATGCGGCTAAATAGGAAACCGTAAATTTTGATGTTCTTTTGTAATCACTTGCCTGAATTTGAGGTCTAACCACTTTTTTCTTGGTTTAACGAAAATTAATTCTTCTTTACTTGAGTACTTACTCAACACTGTTATTGTAAATTAGGTCTCTTCGAAACATAGGGACCACCGTCGCGTTCTCCGATAGAGTTTCCATGTTCAAAATCCCCTTGAAGTGACCAATGATGTCAGAGCTAGACAGTTTATCAAAATCCCAGACTTCAATAAGTATTTCGACGATTTTCTGGTAAGTTGCAAAAACAGGACCATGATACATTGAGCACTCAAGTAGTCTATTCGAAAAAGACATATTACTGCTTCGTTAAATACCTTACACTGCTCCTAAGTTGTTCTGTGAGTTTATTTTGCATTTAAAATAAAAGGTGATCATTCAGAAAGTAAGTCTTAGTCGGCTTTTTCATTGTGGCCTAAGTATTTAATCGCATTTAAATGTCTTACAAGCCACCCTTGTGGAAACAGTGGTGACAATATCAATTGCAACTGCCTGGCAATATTTTACCATACTTATCTGTAAATAATTAACTTTCTAACCTGGGATGGCTTCTTCAATCAAAGTACCTTCACTGGCTTTCAACAAGTTATCATTAAGTTTAATCGCAAGTCATGCTTTCTAAGGCAAAGTTTTGCCGCCAGCAACAAGCACTACCATAAAATTTAAAGTAATTTATCTGTCTGACTATGCTTCCCCAGGAAACAAATCATTAGTTAAACTAATGCCCAACACTAATAACTTGAAACGAAGTCTGCCTCTCGTTAAGAAAGCGGTATTTTTGTAGAGTCGCAAGTATTGGAACACAGCAGCAGCCAGCTGGTGCTACTTTCGTTCAAATGGTTGTCGGGGCAAAATTAGCCGCTTTAACACATGTTGTGCTATTTGTCAGAGTTGCCTTGAGTCGTCACTAGAAAATTAACATTTCCTACTTAAAAATGCAGAGCATCTTCTCTTACAAGTAAGAACCTCCAGAGTAGGTGGATTTTAAGTCAGGATCTAAGAGCTTATTGTATCTTTTGGACGATACTGTCGTCCCCATTTGATCCTTAGTCTCTGACACCATCATTATGATCAGAAGAGCAACTATTATCTATCCAACTCTTTTGGCTTTCTCTTACCTTCTACATTAACGTAAAATCAAAGCTTCCGGCAATATATACTGTTGCTATTACACAAGAGCAATGGTTTGCTAGTTGTTTGCTACCTGTTTCTTGGATTTGCTAGGTCTCTCTTTGCCACCCCCTTTAAATGTGTATCCATACAGTTAGCTTTGAAAGCCAAAGGTTAAATGTGAAAGAAATCCTCCATTTCACCAATTTTACCATCAAGTTTCTACTGTACTTCAACCTACCATTAACTAGTTTAAGCATAAGCGTATTTAATTGAATTAATGTTTAGCTTATAAAACCTAAACTGGATACTAATCTTTCGGTGACGTTAAAATGCAACTGAATTTTAATTTTATATATTACCGAAAAACTTACGCTGACAGGAGAGGTTAGAGGAAACACAATCGCACTCATTTCCGTAGCACTTATCTCGTTGGTGTCCATGTAAACAGTCGTGGTTTCATTGTACATGTCACAGTGCCTGTTTGAATGCAGAATAAGTGAGGTATATTGATCTTTTTATGGTACGTACTTTGATTAATTCCTTTGAGATACCATAGAGGAAACGTCATTTGGCTTGGGGTCATTTTAACATGAGTTAATTTCTTCAAATATTTAAAAAAACATATCTGAGGCTATTTTTTAATAAATGTTCAAGCAATCTGTTAGTTTAACTATTTTCAGTACCTCGAATGAGAAAGTGTGCCATAAGCGGAGAATTTAAGTATCCTATTTTCGGGTAATTTATGCACATATAGAAAAAGCATCAATTATCAATGCATTTTTAAATCTTTTTTCCTAAATTTCGAAATTACTTGGGGCTTTTTTGTGACTAATCAGTGATTTTATATAAGTCTTCGTGTGCATTCTAACCGTTAGAGGCGTTTGATGTGAGTTAACTTAAGCCACATTTAAATGGTAAAAACGTGAGATCTCTGTGCTTCAAAGTAAAGTCGAGCAACTAGTCCGTCTCAATTGGTTTTGCGACATTAAGACTCATAACTGTAGTCTTTCCTTTGTTTAGTAATTAATGTGACGCCGAGGAACTAAAAGCACCATGGAATTAGAAAATATCAATATTGTTTTTAAAATGCCTCGCACGAGCAGATTGGTTAACGGGCATACAGAACTTCCTAAAGGACCTACAGCAGTGATCTTATCAGCGTTAAGTAAGAAAGGATAAAACCATTAGTGATGGTTTTTTCATATTGCATTAATTCCGAACGATTACTTGTAAAATAAATAAATGCAAACATGGTTTTGGAACCCACAAAGATGACTCAGTTTGTTTTTTTTTTTAATTTTTGCCAGAATATTAAGACTTCAAAGGAAAGCTGTGTCCAACAAATTAGTGCCAAAAGCCAGAATAGATTATTTTTACTTGCTTAAATCTTGCCTCAAGGTCACTTCACAAACACTGGAAGGACCACTAAGTTTAATTTCTTGAAGCCACAGTGTACTATGAACCTAGTCATTGAAAGTTAATCTTTGTACAGTATGTTTAAAATGCAGAGGAAAAGGTCAATTTTTAATCCAAATAAAACAACTATCAAACATGTTTGGCTTAGCATAAAAGGGCACGCTAAGGTAAAATAACTCAAAATGCTATTGAAAACTGGATGATGCACCTTCCTTATGCAATCTCACCCATATGCTTTGTGAATCTATAAGCTTTGAAATTTAGTTCGTGTCTCCAAATGATAGCGCTTGATGAAATGCGAGATCTTAGTTCTTTCCAAAAAAATATATTACAAAATTCAAAACACCATTTTTAAACATTTTCTTGTGCGTAAGTGACCGATTTTCTGCAAATACTTTCATTTTTTTCATTATTTCAAAACTTCTCAAGCGTTCAAATACTTGAAGCTGACTTAATTCTGCATGTTTTGCAACTTAAAAGTATGAAAAGGGATGAGAAATGGCAATAGTTGGTATTCTAGTTTTTAAATTATTTGCATCAAGAGGACCTGAAAATTCTCAATATATCTCCCAATTTGATGCAGCGGACTGAAACTTCTAGTAATTTTAAAATATTAGTGTTATAAAAAGTTGAGAATTTAGGTTCCGAAATCAAGGTAAAGGCAAAAATAATTTCAAGAATTTCGAACCTTTTAAAAATAGCATGTTTGTTGGAACAAGCGGCGTTGAACACATTACCTAACGTTTGCCTCGTTCAGCGGTTCATGCCCATTTTAGCTACTATTTTGATTTTTACACATATCTCCAAGACTCACTTGCTGCCGGCTCTTCTGACACAAATGAGAAAGTAGACATCACACGATTCCCCGTAGTCACACACTTCCCCATCAATGAGTTCCTCCTTGGGATTCCGATAATTAAGTGATAAGTACAGTTTTCCCACTTCATTCTAATTAACAAAAGGGAAGCAACGAAAATTGACCAAAAGTTATGAATGGGCTAAACTTGTTACTCTATCTCCTGATATTCTACAATGACCTCTTTGGTCAATCAATTGGGTTGTCGAAATTCAATGACAGAAATCACATTGTTACAGTCATCTAGTACAAGACTTCATGTTTTGAGTAAGCGATGCTTAGGTCTTTGTTGAAAATTGTGCCAGTAAATAGAAAATAATTAGTTATCCTAGTTTCCTGGAATAGTTTGTTGGGATCAAAGGTTATTTCAGTGAATTTGGGGTTAGAAGTTCACCTTTCAGAAATCATGTTACCACGTAGCCTCCCTTCTGGCCATAATTGACCAGACATCAAGATTGATATTTTCCTTCGGCTTACCAAGCATGAGTAACAGCTTGGTGCGTTTAGCGGAATGTTTGAATAGGAGAAGATATAAGGGTCAGTTCAGTTTGATAATGGTGATGAAAATTTTCTTAACGTAACATAATGCTGCCTTGAGGCTGATTGAGAGGAGCTATGCTCAACCTATGTGATGAGCCATCCGACCAGGTGCTTGGTAAATCTGGTTAAAGTGCAATCCTGCTGTAGATTGATAAAAATTTGTGGTAATTTTTTGTTGCTAATGTAAATATACTTGATAGAACTACTAAAGCTATAAATTGAAAAAAAGATAACATTAGGACTCTGTACGAGAACATTTTGTGAACCATAATTATACTATCTGCATTTTTTAAACTCGAGCTACAATCTTTTCCCTAATCTAGAAGTAAAACAATTATCGTAATTACCAGTAATAATAGTAATTTTTGTTTAGTTAATCAATGAAATATCATTTCTAACTTGAATTTAAGAAGAAAGCAACCAAGTCCTTTTACTTGTACAACAAAACGGTTGCTAAATAAAAAAAACCTCTTCTTGTGCACTTTAACAACGAATGTGGAACCTGGAAAAAATGACTAGGAATCAGATGCAAGGCCTCAGGCTAGGTTATCATTTAGAGTCCACTCACAATTTCTCTTTGTCCATCCCACCATTAACCTTGACTGGTATGGTTCTTTTATACACAAGGCTTTGTCTACATTGAGGTTTACGTGTTCAGCTCTTGTTCCTTTCATCACTTTCATTAGTTAGGCTTATTCGTCTGCACGACGCGGAACTGACACACGTTGTACATGATTTTATATTTACGCCCCTCAATATTATAAGTTTTCGCATATCTGAATGAACCACGATGACACCTAATATTAGACACAACTAAGCAAATTTAGTTAAGACCAGAAATTTGAAATATTTGTCAATAAAGCAACTAATGGGCTTTCACACTCACTAAAGGCATAAGTCTACCACACGCAAAATAAAGAGAATAACCTAACTTGTTCAAAGTATGCTCAAATGAGACTGACTTAGCCTTTGATGCTTGTTAAAATTCCGATAAGTCTTAAAATATCTAAATTAGGTTTGTCGACAGGCCTCTGCAGACTTGGACGAATGTTCAGAAATCTTCCTTTGATAATAGATTTTAATGAATCATGCCTCCTTTTCAATAACTGGTCACCAGACAACTTTTTTGAATCCATTCTAAGTTCCCAATCCTTTAGCTGTTACAAAAAGAAGCAACCGTTTGTAGGCGAACAGATGGATGTATGGTATTCAGCCCATCAAGTTAAAACGAATGTTTTGTTTCGAAATCAAGGGAGGCCAATTTGCTGACATTTGCCTGGAATTGGTGTGGCCTGTTGTCTTCTCTTTAGAAAACGCACTGGCAAGCAAAATAAATCCTTTCTGCAGCGTTACACGTCGACTTGACGCTGTCAAGTCCAAGCCGTTGCAGTCACAGAAAAAGTGTTTTTGTAATTAGCTTACATATAAATGTCAACACCATTAAAATTGCGCGTTTTTTGACAAGATTTTGGTGGGTCCTTCTGTCTTATCAAAGTGAGTTGGTAAATCTCTGTGGGTCGTTTAATTTTTTCGATATATAGATTTTAGATTCAAACTCAGTACGTATCCCTTTGAGGCGTTTTGGAAGATTTACGATTTGTGTTTGTCTGTCAGGTACCAACGAATGGAACATCGGAACATGGGTGCACACTATTTGAGATTAGGATTCTTATGAGGTTGAACTGAGTGCAATAAAGTATCTATCACAGTCTGAATTTTAAGCACGTGTCAGTTATGCTACACAAAGGAAGAGCAAATAAAAGTGAATTGAAATCGAAACTGGGTCTTGGTGAAAATCTAGACTATTCATGACGGTCGTGTAATTGGCTCCTTAATTTCTAATTTCTAATGAGAACAAGTTTGAATTTTATTACCCAAAGCAACAGCTACTTCTCAAAAAGGCCAATTAAAATAAATTTCATGAACAACATTAAAAAACATATTATTAAATGGCAGAATCCATTTAATAATTGAATTACCTTAGATTCAGTTTGAACAAAAATGGGCGTCATTAGAAGCATTGTGACAACACTGGCACACTGCATTCTGCGCAGTCTGTCCTGACGCCTCCTGGTATAGTAATCCTAAAACCGACCGCACTCTATGGTGGTTAACAGCCAGTCATTTGTACATACATAAACAGATTCAGTAATGTAAATGGTTGACACGTTACCAGTAACGCTCCAGTGTACGTCGACTTTGTTACGGTACCGTTAGAAAAAGTTTTGCAAATTCTATCGCGATACTGTGTATATTGTGGACTCTCCTCGACATATTTGCATCGAATATCAGAGCTGAGAAAGGTTCAAGTTAAATTTTGATAGAAAACTGTTTGTATTTCAAATAAACTGTGTTATTCAAAGTCAATTTTTTGTGGTTAAAGGTGAATGATTATGATACTACTTTGCTTTTCCAATGACAACCTCATTTTTGCCCTCATTCGACTGGTTGGACTAGCAGACTAATTTCTCTTCACAATTTTGAACAGCAGTTATTGTCAAAAAGTAAGTCCATATTCGTAATATCTACAAGGATATAATTTTTTCAATTTAATTAGTGTATAACCGACCACACATTATGATAATTACACAAATATAAAAGTTTCTTAGCACAGGATTTTCAGCTGCAGTGTATCTAAATAGACCTATCAAAAATAATTAACTTCGTCTTATTTCTGTTGATTAATTTTTCACTGGCTACTACACATAACAGGTCTTGCAAGAAGTTGTACATGCGCCACCACACATGCGTACAGCAATTTAAAATCGGTCACAGTGGACAGATGTACCCTTTTATCTACCTTGTCGTGTGGTCACTTTCCACCTTCTGAGGTTAGGCGGGTGTTCTCTAGACCCAATCATATAGTACTCATTGTGATGTTCTTAGTTCGATCATGCAAGATATAGAAGAAATTTGATGGTGGAATGAATGATTGGTTTTATCGTGCAATCTTACTAATGCAGTGATGGTGTGCAGAGGTACTTTTTAATACCCAGTAAAAATGTAATGCAAGAGCGGCCTACATAATCCACGTGAAACCCGGACCAGGATTTCCACTTACTATGCGTATCATGAGTTATCCTAAGGCAGAGTTTTGTGGCCACCCAGAATAAAAGATTGTTAAAGAATTAGCCATCCTCAAATCTATTTGCGCATAACATGTTGATATTTCATTTCCAGTCTCCTTGATTACCGGTTATAAAAATAAGTACCACTCACAGAAGCACATTATGAGATTTGACGACAAGTTTGTTAGGTAGATTAAAAAGCCATATTTTAAACGCACCACTTCTGTAGTGAAATACTCTGTTAAGTAGTAGCAGACATCTGGTGTTTTTACTGGGCAGATCTTGGGGTCTTATTGCCAGTACGCATCTAAAGAAATTTTAAGATCGAGTGTTTCTAATTGTAAGAGTATCCAAGCAACTTCAGGACATATTACGGAATTTTTCTCCACTTTGATTTCTTTCGCATTAAGCGTTCGGACTCCTCCAAAGAAAATCATATTTATGGAACAAGACGACTTGCCAAAATCAGATGATATGAAAGGTCCCAAGATGGTGGGAATGTGCCTGTGCAAATGTGTTGTTTGTTGGTTGTTTTGTGTAGTTGAGTAAACAACACGATAATTTGCGTACTAGAGTCAAACTTGGTAGTATATTTTAAATTTTGAATTCAATCTAAAAGTGAATTAATGGCATTTTCAAGCGATTTGGAGACATCTGATATGAAATAACCAACCACTAAAAATAACATCCTAAGCCAATAACCAAGGCGAATTTCCAAGTGACACTAACTGGAAAATGAGAAGTGTCCATTTATGAACATCAACGATAACATATGTGTAAAAAGGAATAATATTTTAACGGATCTAAGGATAAAATGGGAGCGAGAGCAAGGAACCTCCAAGAGTGCGAGTTGCGCTTTGATTCAAGATCTATACTGCATCTGCTTTGCTTGCAGCAGCCAAATGTATGTGACATTTTGGCTTTGAATTTAAACGTAAATATTTTTTAATAACGCAGCTATTCTGGTATGCTCCCCATCAAATTCACGACCATGTGTAGCGTACATACTGCTGTCTATAGTTCATTGGCGACTTTTGCTTTAATAGAGGTAGGCATGTCACAGCATGTCTGACCTATGACATTTGAACACCAAGAGTTTCCACATAGTCGGATTGGTGGATGATAAAGTAAAGCTCCCACAATTACTTCTATAGTAAATTGACTTTGAGAAATTTTTGCGATGTTAAAAAAAAATATTTTTTTTGGAACCAAACCTGATATAAGGAATGTTTGTCAAGAATAAAATATTCAGATAAGTTTAATAACGCATTATTGTTATTAACTGCAGAATTCGTAAAAGGTGGTAGCAGAACATAATTTGATGAATTCACTATTCAAGACTATCGGCTTGTGCTGTCCTTCAAAAATAAATACTCGCAACTAAAATTAGGCCAAAATGTGAGACGAATAAATAAATCGAAAAAAAGTGGATGATAACAGGCCAATTGACTTTAAAGCAGATAAAATTATTCGTGAGCCCATTTCTCAAACATTCGATGTCGTTCATCCATGAACTTAAGATCAGAACCTTTACCTCTTAACATTTGTTTAATGTCCAGGTTTAGCAAATAATAATTAAACAAAAGCACTAACCAGGGTATGAGCAAGTGAACTAATTTTTCCTAATATTTTTACATTTAATTCAATGACCCTTACTAAATCAACAACACATGAACTAAAATTGGTAATAAACACGACCGATGGCTTCATTCTGAGAGCTAGATACATTTAGCCCTTCATAAATCCAGATTTTTGCTTCCTTTTTATCACAAAAAACAGGTGATATTTTACGCATCACTTGTCTTCCTGTATCCCCTCTTCATAAATTACTTTTTAAAATCCATCCAATGACCTTTTGTGGACACAAATTATTAATTTACTTAATTCGGTTATTTTAATTTGAAAATTAACATAATTGGGCACGTAAGGCACTAGAGACAGGTTTCTTTCGTTTAGCTTTGTATTATTGTGAATCGTATTTATTCAACCCCTTAATCCGGTCGCTCCACCTCCGACACAGGGTTCCTTTTTTCGCAGCATGTCTCCAGCCGCGCGAATCCTCAACTCCCACTTCATTGGCACGAATATTTATCTCGGAATATCTCCACACCTAAGTCTCGACGTTAGTGCATGTATTACTCACACACCCGAAGTACAAATACACACGCGCAAGGCCCACACACGACACGACGAAACAAGTTTAGGTTGAGCTCTGAAGTAAACAGTTGTGACCCAGCCTCTCCGGTCTTCTTCTTCATTGCGGGTATTGGGGAAACGTAATCGGGCCAGGGTTAATCCCGTGGAACAGGCGTGGTTCAAGAACACATGCTGGGGCCCACAACAGTGTGCCTGTGCTTAAAATAAATCCGAACTTACGCTTTTCAATAACATGTGCAGCGAAAAAGAAGTTAACACTCAATTTTTAATTGCAGAAAACAAAAAAACTTTCAGGTCACCACTTTTCCAAAACTTTGCCAAAGAAGTTGCAATGGAAATCAAAAGGGCCGTAGCTTGTTGAGTTTTGCAACAATTGAATTGGCACGAGTGGAATCTAAACTAGTTTGTCAAACAGGAAGTGGAATGGAAAGTTTGCTAATTAGGCAAAATTAATATTACTCGACATGCCTACCTAAGTTCATATTTTCTACGGCATTGTTAGTTTGTAAACCATTTCAGCATTTTTTGCACTGTTAAAATAAACTTGATAGAATATTCCCTAGTAGTTGAGTAATTGAAACAAATAACTCATAAACTTTTAAAAACTAGTTTGATGTCTTGCGAGTTCATGACTTCATTTCTTGGGGCGTCAAATGCATATTTTGAAAAGTTTATTGCATTTGTTTTATTGAATAACAATCAACCAATCAGGTCGCAGTGCACTGTTACTGCGACAACGCGTGGGCTTACTGCAGAAAGTATAAATCGCAGAAAGGGTGAAAATGCGTATTGAAGAGGTTAATAGCACAACAAAGACCCAGCGGATTGCCGCCCACAGCCATATTCGAGGGCTTGGTTTAGACGAGCATGGTGAACCACTTCAAAATGCTGCGGGTTTAGTTGGACAAATTGGCGCACGCGAAGTACAACGATAACTGATGTCTCATTTGTAGGCTGCTGGTATTATTGTTGAGATGATTCGGTCGAAGAAGATGGCTGGCCGTGCCGTTTTAATGGCGGGCCCTCCAGCCACCGGAAAGGTCTGATTTGTTTTAAATGAAACCTTCTTCAGACAGCCATTGCCTTAGCAATCTCCCAGGAACTTGGCAGTAGAGTACCGTTTTGTCCGATGGTTGGTAGCGAGGTTTTCTCTTCCGAAATCAAAAAGACGGAAGTTCTAATGGAGAATTTTCGTCGTGCAATCGGTACTATATTTTGGGACTAACGTTTTAGGTTTGCGCATAAAGGAGGTAAAGGAAGTGTATGAAGGTGAAGTCACAGAACTTTCCCCGGTTGAAACAGAGAATCCAACAGGGGGTTGTATTTTATCCGCTTAACATTTTCCTAGGATATGGAAAAACAATTAGCCATGTCATTATCAGCCTTCGCACCGTTAAAGGAGTTAAGCAATTAAAACTAGACCCATCAATCTATGAGAGTCTTCAGAAAGAGCACGTCGAAGTTGGCGACGTTATATACATTGAGGCGAATTCCGGAGCCGTCAAGCGCCAGGGTCGCTGTGATGTTTACACAGCTGAGTATGACTTGGAAGCAGATGAGTACGTCCCACTCCCTAAGGGCGAGGTACATAAAAAAAAGGAAGTTGTACAGGATGTTACACTTCATGATTTGGACATTGCCAATGCCCGACCTCAGGGAGGTCATGACATCGTATCGATGATGGGACAATTGATGAAACCCAAAAAAACCGAAATTACGGGTACGTTGCCAAATGTGCCGTTTTACGTTGAAGCATGCACTGTATAACGGTCGTTTGTATAACCAGTTTTGTTGTTATTATTAATAATTATTTCACTGTCCAGGTTATTTTACTTAATTTTGTTATGCTAATGATCGAGTTGACATGTCTAAAATATGCGTCCTCTATGTTCCCTTGTTGCATTTCTTTGAAATGCATTATGCAAAATGTATGTTGTGACATTTTGGCATCATCCCTTTGAGCAAAGTGCAACGCCAAAATCCCTGTGTCCAGGCATCATATTTTTGATATGCTAATGTGAGAGTTAAGAGCATCACTCGTTTCGGATTTACTTCTACTAGTGACACCGTGGACCAGAATGACAGCGATGATACCGTCGCATCCTCATGTCTGATGACATTAATTGAAGTTAATTACTTTATCGTCTGCAACAGTTTAATTTCGCAAACGACTGATTAACTTAAACTATCAGAAACGTCGTTGGGCATGTGTTCATTTGTGATATATTTGTTTGACATCTGACCAGCGAGTCATCCCATTTATATGTAGTTTTACCATGGCGACGCTGACATTTCATTCTGTAAATTCTTGCTAATTAACCTAATTTTTTTTCTCGTAGACAAGTTGCGCAAGGAAATCAACAAAGTTGTTAATAAGTACATTGACCAAGGCATTGCGGAGTTGGTGCCAGGCGTCCTTTTTATTGACGAAATTCATATGTTTGATATCGAATGCTTTACCTATCTCCATCGTGCTCTTGAGTCAACAATCGCTCCCATCGTCATTTTCGCAACTAACCGCGGTAAATGCCCCATAAGGCAAGTTTAACTTTTTATGGCTGTTTATTTTCATGTGTCTTGCATTTACGTGTCTAGTTGCCGTTGGTCTTATGCAGTTTCTCGTGGATTAATGATAAGTCAGAAAAACTGGATTTTGTTTCGATTTTGTGGTCTTAATCTGCATTTTTTCTCTTGTAGGGGGGCAGAAGACATTATTTCTCCCCATGGTTTGCCACTTGATCTCCTTGACCGTGTAATGATCATCCGCACTCTGCCATACTCATTTGACGAGACCTTGGCCATTCTTCGAATCCGTGCAGAGACGGAACACCTTAAAGTGTCAGAGGAAGGTTTCCAGCGCCTAGCCACCATAGCAACTGAATCTACTCTTAGGTAAAAGTAGTGTCTAAGTGTGTATTTTTTAGTCTATAGTGAGATCGAATTTTTATAATAGACCAGGTTGCCTGCTACCTCAACCACGGTATTTACCGCCTAATCGGGTTGTACACATGTAGCTATCGGTGATTAGCCCTGATTTATCATTGTCGTGACTCGTAATCCTATGATGTGAGGCTAAACCACGCCTAAATTGGCTTCGTTCGTTAATACGTCGTTTGGCTCTCATGTTACTGACTTGACCATCGCGAAAAATTCGGTTACTCTGCACGTTGTTGTTTCCACTTTTCACGTTCTTGAAGGGCATTTTGTGTTGCTTACAATCTTATTTTTGTGTCTGTGGCAAAGTAACTACTTCATTCTCCTTCGCTTTCACAACTTACTAAACCACCTATGAGATTTTGATGCCCCAGTGTATCCTCAGTTGGCCTGGCCTACGTTGATCCATTATGGGTTCACATTTTTAGTACATTAGCGGGACATCTTTTTAAATCAATATGCATGGATAAATGTATGCTCAACGCCTAGGTTATCGCAGTCATTGAATAATCAATGTTATTGTTGGACCCGTCGAGTTCCATAGCCAATGAATCTAGCCTCCAATGTTGGCAAAATCCAATTTGCCGCTGACTTTCAGGAATCAGTGAAAGTAAGTTACGTGACCTCTTTTACTCCTAGATTCGGCATCCAGCTTTTGACGCCTGCATCCCGTCTTGCTCAACTAGCTGAGAGTGAAGAAATAACACCAGAGCACATCAATGAGGTGAGCGGTCTTTTCCTGAACGCCAAGCAGTCGGCCAAAGTCCTGGCAGAGCATGGCAGTCAATTCCTCAAGTGAAGCTCTTTGTATGCATTTTTGTTGACTCAGGCGTCAGTGTATGTTTCATTCACTGCGTATTTTTCACAATCTAACATTAAACATCTATCACAGTTGTTATTACCAACATCATAATTGGGTTATTTTAGTTTCGAGGTCTAGGTGGTATTATTTTGAGATTATTTAATGCCAGTTTTCGTGAAGCACGTCCAAAACGTACCCTCACACAATTTGCTGTCTTTACAGAATGGCCGATATTTCCATTTTTGGGTTTGAGGACTACTACATGATCATAGCGTTTAGTCCATGGGCATGATAAGTACCGGACATCATTGGTCGAATTTTTTTCACTGCCAATGGGGACCTTAGGCACCTATGTCACATCTCATAACTGTTTTTCGTGGCGAGGAACATATTTAGCTGCATTGGAGATAGCACTAATCTCGAAGTCAGGTTCAATTAAGAATTTAAACTGACACAAACAACTAAACTCAGGAAGGGTTGTGTATCATAATCTGTTCATGTTATCACTACGACGCCCAAGTCAAAGGCAATAAACCGTTCATCCTCAGAACAAGGAAGAGAGGTCACAGTTCATGGTGGAAAGCAATGTCAGAGGGATACAAACTAATGGGCTAATCTGTGATACTAAGGATTGTGAATGTGAATCAGTTAACTGTCGCATAGGCAATTTATGGCAATTATTTCTATGTTATTTTCACTGCTCCAAATCGAAAAGCACCCGGGATTTTCGATATCACTCCCCTTGGGGATATTTTGGCTCCATCATTAAGTTGTGCTGGTGACTGACAATATTAGACGAACACCTCCATCGCTGAAGTCCATTTAGAGCAAGCAGCCACTTAAAGATCATTCGATGGTATATATTTCATATTATTAACTACAGGCACCTTCAGAACATAAATCAACAGTTCTAAAAACTTGTGATGGGCTTTTTCATCGGTCGTGTAATCGAATGTGTAGGTAGGACTATGTAATATGAACCACCATTCGCACTTTCCAGACCTACGTGCGTGTTTTTTGCGGGATCTTTCAATGGAAATATCATGTAAATCTTGTCTTTGCATGCAACGATTCACTGCCTCAAAAGCAGGCCGGCCCTCAGTAAATATCAAAGAGATTCGAGATTACACGTAAGAGTATAACTTACTTTTTGTCACTAGGATCAGTTGATGGATTTAAACATATTTTAGCCGATCTGTGATTATGTGGTTATACGTAAAACTCTGTGGTGCATACCGAGGTAGAGAAAAGCAGGTAATTACATGATCCCCAAGTAAAACTTCAAAACTAAGAGAAGGCCAAGAGTATCCCTGTATCTTCAATTTAGGTATATTCGTTTCTAAACTGACACACCTTTTAATCACTCACCGTGTACTCAGGATATGTAGAAAGCATCTGCTCGCTAATTCTTTAGATATTGCAACCTTCACTTACCACTCTTAAGCACTTCCAGTTTGACTGCTTTTAATTTATCACATTTATAACTTATGACGGTTAGAGGGTACTGCTAACCAAATGTAAATATTTTGCTAATTTTCAACATACTCTCGTTGCCTAATTTCCATTACAATCACATTGACTGCAAACCTAGTAGATTATCCTTTTTTTGCAAAATCATCAGACGGCTAAATTTTGATGATTTAAGCTAGGTGCCAAATTTGAAATAAGTGCGCTTTTTATGTCCTGGTTCTTTCCTATTAACGTAACAATCAAAATTGATATAAATAATCCCGGTAAATATATGTTTAGTAAATGTATTAGTACTAAAAACCCAAGTTATCCAACACAATGCTTCACATTTGGCTATTTTCTGATACTTTTATTTGATTCTTCCTGAAAGGAATAATTGTCATTTCAACCGATCGATTTTTGGCATGTGATCTTCATTAAAGGATTATCTACAGTGCTAAATAACAAAGACTGCACAAAGTAGATGGTAACTTTAGCTCGATAATTAAAATTGTTTTCAATATTTCGATTCTGAAAAGTTGTGTAACTGTGAACCACTATGACTACTGAAAGTCAACCAATCATGATTCCAAAATTCTTGTTACTGCTCTTAATTTTACTTATAACTTGTTTTAAAATAATTTTAACAGCAGGATAACAATATATAAACATTTGTAACTGTAATTTAAAATTTGGTTCTCAACAGTTGTCGAATATTTATTTCACACATAAATTTGCAAAATTTATAATCAAATAAGAGTGCTGCGAATAAATTTTTATGCATCACTTTTCGGTACAAGCTACAACATTGGCTTTAATGAAGGGGCCACTGATACAATTGTTATAATTAGTATATGAAGCAAAAAAGTCTTAGCCGTTCATTTATAATTATTAGTTTTTGCTGAACGCAGCGGTGCGCTACTTAAATCTCTGTGGTATCCGTCGTCGCCTCGGTTTTTGGAACACTATTCTTGATATTATAAGGGCCAAAGGTTTTTTTGAATTTTTTTGACATTTATATTTGAAAAATTGACTTTTTTACCCAGGGTCTTGTGCGATAATAGCTGGCTCTACTTTCCAATTATTACTATCCTGTTTTTCTCGTTTGCGAATCATTCCACGAAAATCAGCTGGTAGAGTTCTTTCTAATTTAAATGAAATGTTAATAATACGCAGTGGTGTCCCTTTTTTAACAGGTGCCCCCATGTTCTTCGTTTGGTTGTACTTATATTAGGAGTGAATTTATTTTTGCAAACACACTTTAAGCGTGGTATATTTTCCAACTGATATGTTGCTTTTTTGATAACCTCGCAAACTAATGTGCAAGTATTCTGTAATCTGACGTTGATTTTCTCTTTAGAACCATGCGTCCTCTTCTTGCGTTCCAAATGTTCTTGATTTTGCCATTGTTCTCTTTTGGTTATTTTAACGTCAGTGATGAATACCTGTACTCGGTGGTGTGGAATTCCGAACTTTCTTTACAGGTAAGCAGGCTCTCATTTTCTTGTTTGATGAGAAATCTTACCGTGAGGTTTTAATTGCTGACCGCCATGTTTGTTTCGAACACGTGATCAAATAATCTGCAAAAAATAGTGATGTGTCGCTTAGTCTAATCAAAGATTAAGAATTTAGGCACAATTCTGTATTTTTTTGAATTTTTTCTTTCATCTTGTAGTCAAACTCTGCGCCTCCTTTGATAATGAAGACTAGAAGCAACGAGACATACATATGTCATTTTCCTGCCATAATAAAGGATAAAAGCATCCCCTATACTCTCAATTCGTCTCTCCATCCGAACTCTCTCTTGTCTGATTTCTTTGGCAAGTACCCATGCATTTTCAAGGTCGATGGTTACTGGACCTATGAACTTTGTCATAATAAACATATACGACAGTTCAGGGCAGAAGGTGCGGGTCCACAGCTAACACGTCTTGTGAAGGAGTACTACCTGGGCCGCATATCAAACCCCATTTCTGCGCCCAAAGGAACCGAGGTGGAGGTTGGTGATGTGGGTCTGGTAAGTGAGCTTCGCGGATATCCCCATACAATTCAGCGTTTCTGGGATGTTGGAAAAATTTTTGAAAGGCTATTGACGTAGCACTCCTCTTTTTCCGTCGCGACATACTTATTCCAGCTGCTGATGTTTCCACAGCTTAAGAGAATAATTATCATGTCTTTTTCAAGTTTAAGACTTCGCGTTTAATTCAATCACATGCGATACGCCCCGACATTTTTAAGTAGTGGGTTTATTCAGTCCTTATATCTTTGTTGCCTCAAATTATTTCTACATAATTAATGATGTAAAACAACATTAGCCTGACAGTTCGCCTTATTAGGACATATAAGGTTGCGTGAAATTTCCTGCTTTTTGAGAAGCCCAGATTTTTATTTTAGATTTTTTACCCATTTTATGTTTTAATATTTCACTGTGTTGCTAGCACTTCTAAACTCTAATAATGCTCTTTTGTACTTTTTTCCTACAGAAGTCGATTCGAATTAATGGTAAGGATTTCCCTTATTACTCCGTTGAGTACGACGATGGCACGGAATGTGACCTAACAAGTGCCCCACGGAAAGCGTCTGTGCTGTACGTGTGCGTTGAAGAGTCCGATGGTGAATTATTTCAAATCAGCGAATTGGAGACCTGCGTTTACCAACTGGTTGTTTTCACGCGTCATTTGTGTTCTTCACCCCTCTTCAACGTACGTTAGTTGTCCTTTTGTTTCTTTTTTCGAAAGCCGTCTAATTTTGATGTCGAAAAACGCACAACTCATTAGTTACGACATTGATCTCCATTTGCTGTGACATTCGTTTTAATACTCCTGGGCTTCTTTTAACTCAGTTAAAAGTTTCGTATTCTAAAATTCCCAAATTAACAGCCCGATATCCTCTTTATTTGGCAGATGAAGTCAACTGAAATAGTTGAAACGCTTCTGCTTTTGTGAAATCAGTAAATGTCAACTATTCCACGCCTGCGATACATGTCATATTCTCTTTGCATATCGCTGTATTTATGTATTGGTGGAGAATTTGGATCGCAACTATAATTACTTGGGAATAACCAGAGTAGATTTGCTCCGTTCGTTTACCAAGTGTCTGAGCCCTTGTTCTCATGGTCTAATCCATCCGCCATGACACTGGAGTCGTTTGAGCTTGAGCCCCACCTCGGGCAGAGATTTTAACTGTTTCCGTCAAATGCCGGGGGAAGCGAAATTACGAACCTGGTTGGCGAGGACGTGTTAATTTTCTCTTCTTGTCTGCTTGGCAATTTATGTTTGAACTTTTTTGATGCATTTTTTTTGTAGTCACACAAAGTCTATTCAAATCCTGTTAACTGTGCTCCGCATGATGATATCACGCCAGTTAAGCCGACGGCGCTTATTGCATTTGAAAAAGAAGTAGAAGAACTCTCAGCTTCGAGTGAATACAAACACCTCGAGGGAATATTCAGTTCTTTAAAAGTAAAGGGATTAAAGGTATGTTTTCTAACTTGCGCAGACTGTTGTATTGATTATATTTATATTTACGTAACGTTTAACTAGAAAAATTCAGTTCCTCTTTATTTTTAGTTGCCCAACAACGTATTTTATTTAAAAAATCCTTGGACAGAGAAGCGACCTAGGAAATCATATTTTCATTCGTGAATCTACCTTTTAAGTTGAGATTCATACAAAGCGACTTTGTGCCATTTTGTATTGTGTAACGTTTTGCTAGAGTTTAGCCAACGTTTAGTTCGAATTAGCTGCCTCTTAGGTGATGGGTGGCGTGTTATAGCATTTTTTACCTCGAATTTGTACAATACATGGGTCGAACATCAAATATTCAAAGAAGAGTAGCTCAAAAGTGCCGAAATCTGCAAAGCTTTGTTTCGTACTATTTGGGACAGCGGTCTATATGCATTGGCGTGGAAATAACACTTGTGAACACCATCTAATTTGCTTCGTATTTGTTCCGTGGTTGTGATCTGAATCCTGGTTCTTCTGAATTACGCAACTACTCATTACTCTTCGTCGCATGTTAGCAGACATGTTCGTAAACAGAAGCGTGTCTGGGAAACAAAGGAATGTTAACACAAATTTTGACGGAAAATTGCTGTCACTCATTTCCCTTTTCTGTTTATTATAGGTGGAAAAGCTTAATAACAGAGGCACTGTGGTATATCGGGTCAGGACACTAGATCCACTTGTCGCAGATCAGGTGGGTCATGTTTGCTTTAATTTGTTAATGAGGGGCTTTAAAACAGCTAGAGGCTAAATTAAAATCTGATATTTTTAATCCATTTCTAACGTAATTATTGACCAATTGGTTTACAGTGATTCAATTATGTCTTGAGGACTTCTGTATTCTTAATAATGCACCTAGATTATCAAGACTGGCCTCAACTTATTGGTCGTACGCTCTTTATACGTAACGCATCATTCTTCATTTATATTTCTGATGTGAGATTAATCACAGTTTTACCTCTTTTCGTGTCAGCTGTAGCCATTGAAGCGTCAACGACCCGTACTCTTATGGCATGGGGTTAACATTTTTGAAATTGAGGCTTAGTCGGTTTCAATAACTTCATTTTATTGGGCCATTTCCGTCCTAGATCAGTTCTATGTTATAAATGTATTTGAATCCAAAAAAATGCATGGTGCTGAGATCAACTCAGGGAACACGAGTTTTTGAATTACCTCAGTCGGTAATGTAATCGTTAGTGTTAACTTGTAGAATGCGGGTTTATGATCAACTAAACTGTCGTGACATCACCTGAAAGAATTCATTATGATGGAGGCTGATTAGGCCGTTTACGATCCCTGGAAGAAGTCCTATGTCACAACAAGTCGGTAACTCACTAAGTAATATTGGTGGCATAGTATACTCGTGAGGTTTAGTTGGCTCTGATAAGTAAGTTGCATATTTACTGTGGTCGACGGTACTATTGGGTCTACGCAGACCTCATCGGTGTTTCGGCTGAAGTGACTGATTCTAAATAAGCCGCGTGTAAACTCGAGCCGGAACTAGGGTAGTTGTTTCTGCTTGGCTGCTGAACAGCTGGCTGTGAATTTTTCCTGTATCCAGTTAAACCCCGGTTTCTGTGTGGGTGCTTGCTTGCAACTAAGAAAAGAAAACAAAGTGTTCATTAAATGCTCATTTGCAACTCTGTCCTAAATGGCACTCGAAAAGCAATCATTATAATGTTCCCACTTAACCCTCGTCTGATGTAATCCAGAAAACCTCCAGTGGTTATTGTGCTTATACCACCACCTTATTTAGCCTCGTAGTTCTACAATTTTTTATTTGAATCCTCGTTGGCATTTCTTTAATTTTACTGCAAGTATTTAGTTAACTTACTTCTGTTTAGGAAAGCGTTCTTTTGGTTTCCGTAGGAAGGAGAAACGGTTATCAACCAAAACAAAGAACACCAAGAACTAAACACCAAGGAAACTCATGATGTAAACTATGCCGAAAGCCCTCCAACAACACGGTCACAGACCGAACATAATCCCTCTGTTTTGAACCAGAGAGTTTCGCACGATTTACGGCTTACCCAAAAGCGGGAACTTCAGTCATTTATGTCCGGAGAAACTTGTCTCACAGGAGATGCTGGATGGTGGAGACACGAGGTTTGCTACGGGAGTCGTGTCACTCAATACCACGAGGTATGCCCTTTCCCCATAAACAGTCCGCTACACTTTCTCGTCGATCGGCCTTGTCCAGTGACACCAGTTTTTGCGTCAGTCCGTCTGCTTCACTAGTACCCACTAATTTGGTTTGAGTGGGAGCTGGGTCCTCGTGGAAGACAGTACCCAAACAAAAACAACTAAATATCCCTCTTCCCGACCAGACTTACTGCGGCCGCACATGCGTACTTCACTGCACCTCCAGTCGACTGGGAGTTAATTGAGGCATATTGCCTGAAAGTGAGGAGCGAAAACCTCTGGTTAAGACTAGCTCGTTGCGAAATTTAATTTAGAACGGTGCCACGACGCTAAAGGCAAGGCAAACGTCTTACTGCGCCAAAGTGTACTTAAATGCGGGACACTGTTTTTTCCAGTGTTAGTGGTGTTTGCAAACGGGGGAGGGGGTCAGGATAATCGTACGCGGTCTCGCGAATGTAGTGGACCATGTAAACACAAATGATCAGAGCAATGAACGAACATTGGGATGGGTCCTGCACGAAGTAAGTTAGCAAGATCAGTTAATGTTAACTTTCTGCCTTGTTGACAGGGCTTTCTAATGCAGTGTCGGAGATGAAGGAGTTGTATCGTATGTCTCTAAATGTTTTCCACTTTGGTTCACGCAAACTTGCTAAAGCCAACCAGAGAACCAAATTCCTTTGTGCATGCAGGGCAAGTCAGAATGCCAGGGCAGAATTTACGCAGTCGATGGCTGATGATGTTGTCCCATGCAGCTGAGTACAACAATGCATTTTTTGCCATTTAAGCGTGGTCAGTCCATGAAATGCCTATTCATCCATGCTGCTGCTCCAAGCAAACTTGTAATTTAGCGGATCTCATTGAGCTTCAATGTTAAGAATACCCAGTGCGGATAATTGCCCTGGTGTGGAATTTCGTGACCACTGGTCCATCGACGTTGGTGTCACAATTGTTTTGTGTAAATGTTGAAACCCTGTTGACCTAAAAAATCCCACATCTATTTGATTTCTAACTCATTCAGAGTTAAGGGCACCCCATTTTCTCTGAACGTTTCTTAATCAACTTTTGGAAGTTAACAATTTTAAAATAATATGGGTTGTCGTTTCACAGTGCATTTATTCTTTCGTGTTTCGATGGTCTTCAAGGATCCAGAATCAGGTGAACGGATTGAGATTGTTTTGGGTAAGTGGGACGAAGCCGTTCACTTGGAATGGGTCAGGAAGAGCCGCCTTCGGAAGCCCTCTCTCCCTGCGGAAAAGCGAAAGTAGGTCGCCTTATCCATGGAAATGAAGACTGGGTCGAATCATGTAGTCGCATAATTACTTTCCGATTCAACTCTTTTATTTTAGTAAGCTGACTCAGTTTTATGGTCAGGGGGATTTCTGCGAAGAAATTAAAGCTCATCGCACTGTTAGGCTGTCGTTTGTGTGAGTCATTGTCCTTTTCACCGTGGCCAGATTGGCAATATGCTTTCATTGTGCGCATGCGTTTTTTAATTGTTTTGTTAGGTGTCAGCGAAAAATTAGTACTGCTGTGCAGCTTTCGTTCTCGGAACCAACAGTCTGTCAGTATTCAATCAACGTACGTTTCCTTCACCAACTCTCCGTGATGTGTTTATTTACCCCTTTTTCTCAAAAATCATTTGACAGATTCTTGTGTGCATCATGAGTAGCCCACTTCATAACAGCTAGTGCGAAGCAACATTTTAACAATGGACAGATACTGGTGCAATGAGATTACGCACTATTCCTGCACCGCTATGTCTTGGTTTCGGGTTTAGTGGTCCTAGTGCTATGGCTAGTACTGTACCCCTGAATTGCAGTTTCGCCTAGTAAGCTAGTGACGTTCGGAATGAGCTCATATTCTTGAGGTGAAGTTTGATGAAGTCACTCACTGATAGCACCTGTTCGTCTAACACTGTTCTGTAGATACTAACAAACTGTGCGTTCTTCAACCTCTCTTTTCTGTATTTTAGCTGGAGAGCCCACTGTTCTGTGATCTTTTGCGGCAGGCCGATGATGATGGCCTCTTTCCTCAAGAGGTGGTGCTGTGAGTGGCCCGAAAGTTACTGTCGTTGTACATTATTTCATTGTTATGCAATTACACTCACGTTCTTTTGCATCATTTGACTTGTGTACTTACCAATGATTTCGTGATTAGCATATCCATTACGGTGTCTTGGTTAATAATTAAGACGCCTAATTTTGTCGTAGCTGCACTGCTTTGCAAGTACTACATCCAGACTCCATTAGCTTTGTTTTATAGCGACAAACTGCACGTATTCGTTATTTTTTGTTCCAACGGCAAGCTGATCATTCAGGCAAGGCTATATGGTCCTTTTACTGGAACTTGAATTCCCTCGTCCACATAAGTACACCGAGGTTAATTATGTCAAAACACAATCAAAGCAACTCATGGAACGATTAATACAAAAGTCAGTTAATAAATATATAATAAATAGTTTTGGAGGTGTTGTTTACAGCATTTGTCAGGTACGGAACATTTCTCGTCGAGTACACGGAATTCAGTGTGAAGCTAATTCAACACGCCAGACCAGTAAAACGACAACGGGTCATGTATTGAGCAATAACACATTTAGTATTGCAGAACCATCGTGCGACTCGGTTTTGTGAGCATTAATCATTGAATCTTGTGACCCATGTATTGTAGTAGCTTTCCTTCACCATTGAAAGTTCGTGTTTTCAAATTCGGGCATTAATTTTAAACTCCTTCTTTACGAGCTATGCTCTGCCAATGAAAATTCCGAAAACCTAACACTACCGCAAATTTGGTTCAGTGGCGCTTACTAATGAAAATTAACACTGGATCACGGGGTTGGAGTTACCCTTCCCAAGTCAACATGGGTTTCGCAGCATACCGTAGTTCTAAGGAGGGCTTCTAAGAGATAGTCAACTTAGGTAGCCACACTGAATGATGTGGCATTTGTTCGACTCTAACGATCCGTATCTTTCCTGTGTCAGTCGAACATGACTGCATAGAGGTATTGGGAATTGTTCTCGAATGCACCAGGTATTAACTTGTAAAATTTCGTAGACGAGTTAGTAGTAGCTGAATGATAATTCATTTGTAATATTTCATGCCCGGACAGTGGACGGAGGTGTTAGGGGCCCGTTCATACAACGACTTCATGCTAGATCAGTGAATCAAAAGTTGTTGTTGTTATTGGTAAATCGAGACCAGAGTTGCTGATAGGCGTCAGAAGAAGGATAAAAAGCGACAGTATTCTGTTACACTTTTTCCGCTATTTGGTGGGTTTGCGATAAAAAATTGAAGAACAGGAAAATGGAAAAAGGGCGGGGGAATTACGCTCCAGTCTTGAAGCAGTCTTCCCTCAAAACCAATATTTTGGACTTTCCTTTGCCGTTCACTTAAAAAGTCTCAGGGCGTCGAGATCCATTTGAGGAAGGCCACTTAATGCGGCCTTTTCCTATCGTAACCATAATCACCACCCGAAAGAAAGTTGTTTAGATCCTATTCTGATAGCAGTTGCTCGTTTGGGCGGTGACTGGTGTTTGACAGCTGGACAAAAGTTAGGGTGGTAAAGTGTCAGCGATTTTGTTATCGCGCCCAACTTCAAAACTCTCACTCATGAAGTTTCGAAACATTCCCAACTATTAGTGACCATTGCCAGTGTGCACTTGGTGGTCTAACGCTCTAAGTGGCATGGAATTTGTCATTAGAGAGCATTGTATATTAAATCCTCCTGAGTAAAAGCAGTGTACGACGGAGGCGAGTGAACTACAACACATCGTCGGCGTGCTGCGCTCATCTGCAGAAAGATCCTTGCAGTTAGAGTATCTCCTGTCAAATTAATCTTGGTGTTAGCGTCTTTCCGTATCTCCGTATGATGCTGGTGTTTTTATTAATGTGGTCCATTTTGGGAATAGTAAGCAAATGCTTACATATCATAATTGCGAAGGCATTGGTGGGTCGTCCAATAGGCTTGTGAAACATTGCAATCCCCTCCAAGGTCTGAACCATCCTTATATGGAGCTCAGACATAATGTCACATAAGTAGTACCACTGCGATGCTAGTCTATGATTAAACTTGATCAGACTAGTAATTAGCATGTAAACATAGCGTCCACGCTCTCTTGCTGTCAACAAAACTGCATCTAGTATAGGTTTTGACCAAGGATATCCACTTTGAGGGAGCGCAGTAGAATCCAGTTGCTCAAGTGAAATTACAATAGCTTTAATTGTGCATTCCGTCAATCGAGAAGTCACTCAGCCTTCAGCTGAGACAGCAAATGTTCTCTCCTCGAATTCTTTATTTTTACACTGAGGAAGTGGAAACTTGCGTTTTTTTGTGGGGCTTTTACAGAAATTTGTTTCTTAGCGTCAATTTTTGTTGGTGGGCTCAACACCTTGGTGATTTAGAGGAGTTGGTGGATGAAGTGGCTAAAATTGTAGCGTGGTGTGGCGTCGGATTAGGCGCAGACATGTTGGGCCACCTGGCCTCAGCCAATCCCGTGTCTCTCTGCGATCCAATGGCATGCAGGAAAAGAAGGCAGCCAACCAGAGAAGGACACAACTGAGATGCAGTACATAATGAGCGGCGTGGCCAGCGCGGTTGGCTCGGATGGAAGGCGCCTGAGGCATAGCTCTGGCTTCTGATTGGTCAATAAAGCCTGTTCTGTTGTACCGGTCTTTTTCCTATTAGGGCTCGGGTATTCTACAGGTGTTGTGTGGTGTGGCAACAGTTCAGGGCGCAGACATATTGGACCGCCCGGTCTCAGCCAATCCTGTGTCCCTCTGAGTTCCAATGGCAAGCGAGGAAGGTAAGCAGCCAACCTGAGAAGGACATGGATGAGGTGCAGCATATAATAAGCGGCGTGGCCAGCGTGGCGGACTCGGATTGAAGACGCCTGACGTGTGGCACTGGCCTCCGATTGGTCATTAAATCCTGTTCTGTTGCACCAATCTTTGTCCTATTAGGGCTCGGGTATCCTTGAGTGGCGACGTCTCAGGGCGCAGACATATTGGACCACCTAACCTCAGCCAATTCTTTGTCACTCTGCGTTCCAGTGGCATGCGATGAAGATAAGTAGCCAACCAGAGAAGTACACGAATGGGGTGCAGTATATAATGAATGGCGTGGCCAGCGTGGTGGACTCGGATGGATGACGCGTGGCTCTGGCTTCTGATTGGTCAATAAAGCCGGTTCTATGGCACCAGTCTTCTTCACACTATTGTTTGGGCATTACACACCTGCACTGACAGCGCCAAACTATAGCCCAACCGGCCAACATAGTAGCGTTATGTTCATGTCGTAATTTCAAGGAAAAAAGGCTACATTGGTGCCGATAATTAGGTAAGAGTGAGAGTCACAGAAAGTCAGGTATCTGCCTTGCAATTTAAATGTCAGCAAAGCTGGTCTGGTAATGCAACATCAGCAGCCTACTAAATTTATGAGCCAATTGTTTGAGAAGGCTGATAAAATGCTGCGGAATACATTCGGGAAAACGGTTTCCTGTTCATTATACGGTTCCAGTGTCGCAAACTGGTCGTTAACAAAAATAATGGATTTTTTAATGCCTTAGATTTGTCAATCACAAATGCGATGATCAATTTGAAAAATCTTTTCTCCTTTGTCTGCCTACATGTCCCGATGATCGCAAGCCTACAAAAGCAAATGTTTAATATTTTCAGTGATACAAAATAAAATCGACGACGAGTATGAACACTGAAGCATCCTACAACATGGCTCCACATTTATTTAATATAGAAATTGCAATCGCTATCAGTTATTGCTTTACGTTGGGTGTCCAAAGCAGGTTCCTTTGGTGCTCCCAATTCGAGTTCTTCTCCGCCGAGATAGTTTTACGTTTTTCTGGGGTGCTGGTGCAAATTCCCGAGGTAATAATTGGCTTCCTAGAATAAAAGGAAGACTAATGCATGTGAAGAAGGCTATACACTCTGAATTAGAAATGTCGACAGCAAGATAAGCAAAAAGCGAAAAGCTTAAGAAGTGAACACACGAATGAAGCAACAGTAGCGTTCTAATCACGTAAACTAAACTTGTGCGAATAAACGTCCCAACTCACAATTTTAATTTAGTTGTATTGGAGAATGTTGATATTCCCAATAGACAGACACACATGGATTTGAAACAAATTGCTACCAATAAACCGGGACGTCAAAATGGGGATCTTCCTTCTCGTGATTTGCAAGTTTCTGTCCATACAAATAATATCAGTTTCAGCGATAGTAGATGTGCCCTCTCAGATACATGCGTGAAACCTGAGCATGCGGATAGAGTAAGGCCCGAGCTCAGGGCGAAAAGATGTATTAGTACTTTGCCTTGTTGCCAAGGAACTTTTTAAAGCAATATCCTGCGAAGATGGAAATACATGCATTGCTTGTAAATGGCAGTCTGACTCGTCTGAAGCTTGACAATTTTTTTGCATTTAAATCGGCTGAATGGAAGTTTCAAACATACTAAACCTTCTTTCATCCAGCCAATCTAACAACAATTAATTACTGGTTTGTTTAATCCAAATTATTGGCGAATTGCACTGGTAACTTCTTTCTCGGTAAAATATCTGATTTCTGAAATTAATTGTGGAAGGTTCAAATTAAATGGCATTATTGGGTTTTAGTGAATCCTGTTGATTCACTCTCAATAACGTAGTCGTCACAGCTTTTAGCACACGTCCCCCTTTTTACGGGCACGCCGTAAAACGGGTGAGGTCGTCGGTTCATATACCCATCTGCATGTAAACCAACACCCGGTTAAGTCTTGTCACCTCTCAGACGCCTATGTTTATTTATAATTGTGCGCATAACTGTATAAGTAGACATATACAACGTGGTTGAGTTGAATAGTAAACGGACTTGCCTGCCATCTCTGGACGTTTTTCCTTCCTGGGTTGCTTCGTATGGTTAAGGGCCGCAACAGGTTCAGTCAATACCCCGACTAAAATTATTTGCTTTCAACCATGCTCCTTGCAAGCAGTTCGTCAATCGTTTCAAACATTTTGCAATGTTTTTTCAGCCTAGCCTCTAACACTACTCCATGGCTCTTGCCATAATTCTCTTATTGTCAAAAAACGGCCAAGAAAAACTTGTTCACATTTCTTGACCTTTTGTGCGTGCTAAGCCATTGGATCTTATGCTTAAATATGTTTTTTTGACCTTATGCACTGTGTATGCCGTCGTAAATAAGAAAGCCCATTACTAAAATCTCTTAAGTTGCGATTTCCCCAACAACCTTTAATATACACATTTGTCGACTGCAGAGGTCTTGCTGACAAATATAAGCCATGCTTTCTTTTATCCTGAACAGACTATGTCAACGTCTTTGTTCGTATCTAAAAAATATCAAAATAAAATTTATTCATGGCATTGCTTTAAAAATGAATAGGCAACAGCACCTCCATTTTTCCAAAAGTGAGATGATATAAAATCAAAATATGTTTATTCATGTCGACAATTAAACCCAGGGCACAAAACTAGAAAACCCTTAAAGAATGCAAAATTCTAAACAAAACAAAAGGATTCATTCATATAATGCCCAAATGAAGATGTCTTTTTTGCAAGAAAAATTTTCCGGGCTTTTGGAAATTCGGCCTTTTACAAAAAATAAGCTATGAAACAATAAATGCATTTGCATGCATTCATAAAACGCAAAACATGTATTTAGTAAGCTGAATACTATGAATGCATGTGCAATCAGAAGTTATAATAAACAATATAGCTTCCCCCGAATATAATCTACATTTGAATGAATTTGCGGGCAACATTTTTAGCATTAAGTGTTCCACAAACAAAATTACGTAATTAATTATCTATCTGTTAAAAAGGAAATAATTAGACGGTTTTCTGAAGTAACATTATGTATTGCATTTCAAAGATGTTAGTTTTTGATTCGCTAAATTGATTAGTTGCTTACGTTCATTACACCGTTTTAAAATCCTTAGTTGTCCAATTGGGTTTGGTTAGTTCGCAAATGACCGACCAAAATTCTCAACATAATTTAAAGGGGTACTTGCTAAAATGGACCAACTACATAAAAGGTTACCAGAAGCGATGGTTTGAACTACAAAATGGGTTGCTGTCATATTATAGGTAATTATTTTTGTATAATTTTTGCTATAGAAACCAATCTGAGGTTACTCACACGTGTCGAGGCACGATAAATTTAGCCAATGCTAAAATTGTCTCGACCGGGCACTTAACCTTAATGATTTCAAACAGCAGCACACAGACTTTTCATCTTAAAGCAGCGAATGAAATGGAGCAGAAAAAGTGGATGGCTGCTTTAACCATGGGCAAGGCAAACGCCCTCGCTTTGGGAAAATCAGGTATGTGCAGTTATGCGTTACAGTCCATTGTGATCTACTGGAATCAGTTCAAATATACCTTCTTGTTAAGGGGATGATTCTGATGATTGGATAGATGGTGAAGAGGAATCCGATATTGCTTGGTCATCCCCTCGTTTGATGCCGGAAGATTGCGCTCGTCTGATTGAAAGCGCTTTATCCCATTTTGAAAGCCGTGTCAGCGACCTCCAGCACTACCAGAGTACCCTAGAACGTAAAGCAGATGACTTGCAGCGATCAATTAACGAGTTGGAAACGTCTCATCTACCACCGGACATTGCCGAAATAATCTCCAACATTAGAGATAAGACAACCGTATTCAAAGTTGCAAGTATGGCTATGGTTAATGTAAGTCTAATATTTTTAATTAGTTTTTGTACAAAAAGACAAATTGGGGCCATTAAAATTTATCCTTTTTAAAGTTTGTCGTCAGTGATTTTGGAACGGTCGAAATACGTTTCAAGACATAAATTTCCTGCTAACATTCAGGTATATTTTGATGATCTAAACGAGAATTTTTATTTAGGTGAATTTAAGTGCTTGCAGTCCCAAATTTTTATGAATACACATTTTTCGTCCACGCATGCTTATCCACACTCACACTCTTTTAAAGTTAATATCATTTACTGAGGTCGATGAATGTTGGACGTGTCATTCGGCTCCATTCGTTTTAGAACTTTTTGACCAATCTATTTCTGGTGAATGAGAGTGTGTATCACTCAAACACACTTGTGTCCTTTTGCTATGATCTCAATTGGTAACAGCGCACTTTTCCTCCCTTCTTTTAAAAGTCTATAAAAACAAATAATAGCTGAACGCACTTGGCTTATTTGTGCATTCTGTACAGTGTTTTGAGTAAGTCTGGGATCGCGACTTCCGTCAATGGTAACTCTTGACAAGAGTACGCAATTTTTATCCCAATTTTATTGCCTTTTCTACTGACCGTGTGAGTCACTAATTGTATTGATATTCACCAACCTACTCAGACTACAACAGGCCAGATCAAGAATTTATAAAATCTACCCATTTTCCAAATACTTCCAGTTGACAGTCTTAAATTAATCAGAGCTGAAGTGGCAATCGGTACATATCATTTAAATCCCCTAAGCACACCTATTTGGATTCTATCATAGTTCACTAGTTCGCTTTGTGTCTACATTATTTTAATGTAATTTTTCGGTATCCAACGTGTTTTCGACGTTTTTTCTCATGTAGGTGACACCGGCATTAAAATTATTTTATATCACATCAATTTTAAAAAGGCAATTCTATGGTTTTGCCATTTTTGTACCATTATGAGTACATCTTCCGGTTTAACTGTCAGTTGACTGGTAGGTTAGGATCACTGTTTTCAACCATTTGAAATTTTGTAAGAACTCGAATGATCGAAAACTGTGGTGTCTAGTTCTTGTCTCGAAATCTGCTCTTTGTCTATCCTCATGACATTTTTTACGCATCAAATATCTTTGTGAATCAATCCAAGTTGGAAACTTCCAGGTATAATTCTTGCATCGTCCGCCATAACTTGACCCATGGTCTGTAAAATAACTTTCCTATTTTTCAGTCATGTTCCGAGTTTCTGGGCTTTGCCAGAACTCAGTCGAAAAGATGGCGCCGTATTTTCACCGCTCAGGTTGATCGTCGTGCTCGGCTAGAGCAGATGGTTGAGGAATTAGCCAAACAGATTCGTAAATTGGAAATACAGGCCCATACCAAATCAAATCACCCAGGTGAGGTCTTGCGTTCCTCTGTAATGCAAAATTCGGTAGGCTTTTAATTATGTTGTCAGTCAGTTGATGATGGAGAAAAGTGCAACAACATCAGGTAATCGATCATTCCTGACCTTAGAGCCAGTTACATAATTTATGTTGCAAGTTTTTCGTTAGCAATTTAAGTCATCTTTTGTTATTGATAGATATTTTTTCATATTAATGAAGTCTTATTTTTCATGTGAATGTTAAGTGACGAATTGAAAGTATGATCCACAGGCTAGCGAAAGCCAAAAATTGAAATGTGATATAAAATGCAACACTTCGGTGTTTTTCTCATTCATTCCCTCACACATCGAGTGAGAAAAGCAGATTTCACCAATCTCCAGCCTGCAATACTTTGTTTAATTCAGGACATAAATCACGCTGAATAAAAAACAGTTTCTGGCTTTTTCTGCTTTGGACAGCTTTGTTACATAGGTCAGGCTAAAGCTTCTACTTGTATCTTAGTGGGTGGTTTAGAAAGTAAATGCAGTTTTCAGATATACATTGTGCTGTATTAATTTTGAAGAAAGTCAATTTCATGGTTGTCGCTTCTAAAATTCAATTAATTTTACTTTGATCTGTCTTGTAAAAAAGTCGCGCATAATTTTGTTGGCTTCTAATGCTTTATGGTCGGCTTTAACGTGAAGTATAAAAGGCACATATTCCACAAACTTAATTTCTGCTTCTGTAATGGTAGCAAATAAATTATGTTCCTGGCGACGAGCAGCACCACGAAGAAGCTATCTCTATTGCTGCAGAACCTTGCAGTGGAATGTGTTTTGCACTGTTGCCTTTTTTCTGGTTCACATTCCCGTCAGAATTTTGTTTATGTGTAAATTGGGGCCTTGATTTCGGTGTGTGAAGACGGGCAAACGAATTAACTACTATTCTGTGCTATTGAAACCAGAGGGGGAGGATAAGCCCATTCCCCACAAAATAGTTTTTAATGAAGTGGTTTTCCTCAATTACAAAACTGTATTTCACTGAGACCAGCTAAACCAAACCGAAATCATATTTGCTTCAGATTGTCACTGCACCTTTTTAAATGACTTTTTGCCTACAGCGAATGTTCATACCCGCGTTCTTGAGCTAATTTTGTGTTTTCACGACGCCAAGTGCCTAAATAAAGGTATATTTCCAGAGGTACACAAAACGGGTTCCTCCTCAAAATTGTGCCATTTCCGTATTCGTCAAAGTTGCTTACCAGTAGGGCAATCGCTTAGCAAGTTACCGATTCCACTCACTCCAATCTAATAAATCCCATACAGAGATTGTTTGACCTGAATCTTGGCTGTTTTTAGGTTCGTGGGCAATCCCAGGTCAGGCTGTGCAAGTCCGCCGCAATGCCAATGAAACCGTTCGAGGGCGTTCAGGCACCCTGGTGACCAACAACGGTGGTAATGCTGGTAGTGGTGGTGAGGGCGTCTCTTCTCTTGGCGCCACAGCTCCTGCAATCACGTCTGATGATGAGGACGACTTTTTTGATGTTGAGGATGCTGAAGACTACGAATTTGACGTTACCCTTCCCTCTACTTCAGGGCCATCACTGATCGAGAAGCCACCTCCTGGAGATACCGTTCCTCCGATTTCGTCAACAGTATCCACAGTTTCTATTCCATTAGGAACAGACCTCACAATGGAATACGAATCAGACATCGCTGACTCAGACATCGAGGAGGATGGCGAGGGAAGCGAAAACTCTCAACACAAAGCTCGTGGCAAACAAGTACACGTTATTCAGAAGCACGCCTGGGGCAGAGCCAGGTGTGTGTGTGTGTGTATTTGTGTTTACCTCCAGCATTTGGCCTTAGTAGCCGTTTGTTTATAAAATATTAAGAAAATTATTAATGAATGTGCAATCTTAGCTGAGTTACCTCGCATAGCTTCCAACGTGTCAAACGCATTTTTTACTCTAACACTGACTCGCTTTGAATTTTAACTTTACATAACCCTCGAGTCGCTTGCAAAACTGTAGGCTGTTTATCTGCCAAGTCGGTGGAGCTGAAAACTGGCGCTGTTTTTGAACACATCACGTACTTTTCAATTAGGGTTTTCACGCAAACCATAGTTTGTACTTTTAAATTTAGTACACTCACATTGGCCTACCATGTGTCTTCGCTTGCTTGAAGCAGGCCGTTCCCTTAGTGTATGGTTCCTCCATCTGTGATGACTTGATTTCCTACTTTTGACGCGTGGGGAATGAAAGGCTTACTGATAGGTTGGTACCTTGTATTTGCCACGCATTTTTAGCCCCTTGTTGCATTTTTTTTCTACGTTCCTGTTCATTTGTGCTTTTGGATTCAAATTAAGTGTCAAGACCGTCAGTTATGCGCAGTTCGATTTTACAATTTGGCCATGTAACTTCTGGCCACTCAAGGTTTTACAAAATCAAATTCGTCCTGGAAATACGGTTTAATTGAGACCGTGAACATGCGGTAACATTTCCAATCCACCCATATGGTTTGACTCGAACTCATATAAATATTGGAATTGGATTTATCGTTCCCCCATGACCGTTTTTAAAGACACCGTAGTGTTATGATTAATTTACCGTCGTTGTCTGTTTATTTAACCAGTTCTATTTTTTCTATGGTTCACTAAATTGTTAATTTCATTTTGGTCGAAATCACGGATGGATACGAATAACACTGTGCGACCCGCTATTTTTCGCTCCCATTTTAGCAACTCAGTCTGTCTTGTTCTTTGACATTTTTGTCTCTCAGTTAACTCCTAAAACTAGGTGTTTATAAATTTTGCATGGTAGTGTGACTTGCTGGATTGGTAAAAGGATGAGGAGGTTCTTTGTTCAAAAGTCACCGGTTCGGATTTGATGCTCACATGAAGCGTATTTTAGTAGGAACTTATTGTCTCTTTTTGCTGGTAGTTCTTAAATTACCGTTTGTTCTTGTCGTATTTTAGTACTGAGCGATGTCACTTTTGGTTAATGTTTTAGCCAAGCTCCTCCACAGGTAGAAGCAGGAACGACCCTCTCCTCAACTGCGGGTGTTGAGACTGGCACGAGCCTGGCTCCGGAAAGCCGCATCATTCCTGTACGACAGCCCATTAATCGGCGAACCACTATCCCACCCAAGCCCAATATCAGCCTGAATCTCTGGAGCATCCTCAGCAATTGTATTGGAAAGGAACTGACTAAAATCCCTATGCCAGTAAGTTTCGTCGGTCAAACAATGCAGCAACATAATAACTTTGAAAATATGGAAATTTGGGATCGTTGTGGTTTTTTGTGTGCTGATACTACAAGTGTCCGCGCTGTCTGGGTATTTAAAACCTTTAGAGTAAAATTAAACGTTCTAATTTATCAATGAAGGTTCATAAAATTTCCCACTCTGTAAGGTAGTTTCCTTCAGTAACTAACAGCCGATCAGTACATTTGATATCAGTGGTTTAAGGGGAAAATTATTCCAATGCAACATCCTATCGATTTTTGTATAATGTAGTAAAAATTACCAATTTGTTGTACCAGTTTAGTTTTTGTAGTAATTACTGCCTACACCCTTTTCTCATATTGAGTACAAGTTCAATTTGGGTCGCAATTCACATCGATCAAGTTCCCTCTTGCGAAACCCGAGATGCACTTTCTGATTGGGCTGTGGTCCGACTTAAAACGCGCTCTGTGGTACACTCACGTGGTAAATGCCACTAGGTGAACAAGAATACGAATCAGAAACTAACTTTCTGACCCACGTTGAGCGAATGATGTAGTGTGTTTACCGCTCCATTGTTCGCCAACTCAGTTGATTACTCATGTAAATTTTTACCATTAGTTAAACGACCGAATTTATAATGAAAATGCCTGACCAATTGTACCTTGCTTTGTTTTTCGCTTATCAACGCTGGATTTCAAGAAAAAGAATGCATGTTTTTTAAAGTGCTTGTTTTTTTCAATAACTCGTTTCAGTCTTGGCACTGATGTCAGTTTTTCACCTACCTGATCTGTGACAACTGCATGTCGAGGGAAGTTTGATTTTTAAGAGGAGATCTGTGGAGGAAATAATGGAAGGCGTAATATAATTAGTTCTTATGTCCCGTTTCTTTAAAAATCCTGAAAACATTCTGAGTCGAATTTATCCCATGGCTGGTCGTTTGGGTCTAAAGACAGCACTCCGGAAGCTTGTGTATTCGAGGTCATTCAGACACTTCGTGTGGTAATTTACTCAATGCGCATTAAGTTCCCTTCTATGATTACTTTTGGGAGTTGGTTTTTATGTTCCTAACCACGACGCAATTCGTATTATTCCCAATTGCGCTACGTGCATTTTAATACTTGGCACCATTTCAGTGCTAGGTTTTGTGATAATTTGACCAATGAATTTCGCCTAATTAATTGTCCTAGTTTTGGTTTCTGATTGTACATAAGCTTACTGAATAAGGCTTCAGAGGCATTTGTATACATATTGGGCGATATCCTTGTAAAACCACAACGACGTCTCAGTCACTTTTTCCTTATCTGCCCGAAAAAATAACCCTGTTTATGTACCTTTACAGTGGGCGATTACTTGGGCAGTTGTTTTACGTACTTGTACCCAAAAGTGGCTTTTACCGGGTTTCTCGCTCTTCTGCTTTCTCTATTTACCGCTGTCTTTTGATGCACGAATTTCGATTCTTGGGTATGTAACTGCTCTCCATTTCCCCATTGCAGGGAAACGAGTTTTTCGCATCTTAGTGGTTCTTCAAATGTGCCCTCCAAAATTTCGAGCTCAGCGTAGTAGTTTGCGTATTTTGGATCAAGTTAGCATTCGTAATTTTTGTCAGCTTGAATATCATCCAATATTCTGACACGCGTATTTTGCAAATACTGCGTACTTTGAAATTGCTGCAGTCACCTACCTGCACTTGTAATGACCGAACAAGTCATCTGCTTATTTTCTGTGTCCACTTATTTTGCACGTTTGCGGCTACCTGGTTTGTGTTAACTCTGCATTTCAGTCAGCAGATACGCCATATCGCCTTATCCCACTAATTATGATCAACGAACCTCTTCATTTTGTAATTTTAGGTAAATTTCAGTGAGCCGCTTTCGATGTTACAACGCCTGTCGGAGAATTTTGAGTACTCTTCAGTCCTCGACCGAGCAGCAGCGTGCTCCGATCCATTGGAGCAATTGGCCTACGTCTCTGCCTTCGTGGTATCATCTTACGCAAGCACCGCCCTCCGTGTGAACAAGCCCTTCAACCCTCTGCTCAACGAGACTTATGAATGCGATCGCACAGATGATCTTGGCTGGCGTTCTGTTGCCGAACAGGTAGTTTGAAATTCCCGATTCCATGTTTTATTTTTGATATTTGAACCCTTTGTTACTGCTCCAGTCTCCGACTCTAGTTAGAGACTGGAACGTTATTGTTACATTATGTTTGATGAGCGGTCGTGATTGACCTATACCACACTTCGTCGATTCCTGACACGGTAGGAGGAAAAATTACGTAAACTTTATGTATAAAGCGCCTCAGAACTTGCAAAAGTGGACAATTAACAGGGACTATCTTGATTTTTCGGGATGTTCAATCAACTCAGAATGGTTTGTTATTTATCCTTTGTCATAAAATGTTCCGCTTTTCATAACTTCGTATCTGTCAACAGGTGGATGGCAATTGTATTTGTATTTGACTGTAGCTTGCATAGCTCACATCATTGGTTAACAATTTGAAATAAACACAACACGTTGACTGTTCTAACAGCATATATTTTCTCCCTCCACTTACTTCTATTATTCTTTGCCATATACTACTTCACAGTACACGCCGCTTCTGCACCTAGTCTGTGTCGAAGTCGCTTCTCGTGTTCTTTCAGACGCCTGTTAATCAAAAGCGACTCTAAAGTCGACCAACTGTTACAATTAGCTTAATCTAGATTGAAGGTGCTGTTTATCCGCCAATCGTGCTATTCCTATCCTTTATGTACTGTACCTAATCGCAAAGAAACCGCTATTGAACCAAGTAACTAACTCTGATATTTCAGTTGCACAACTTTATACCAAAGGCTTTCCGGCTTTGTTTTGCACTCCGCTCTCAACACTAGCAAATTTTACCTATACTAATGTAAAGTCCATTCGCTAACCCCCCTACTAAAGAAATCCCAATGTTGCTTTGCAGGGAACTTAAGCTTTGTTTGACGAACTTTGACTTATCTCCGCTTCAGTGTTAAATGCATCAGTGCTCTGTGTTACTTCTCTCTAAATGCGTTCGCTTATTTCCGGTTGACATAGGCAGTGGTTTTTTGGTATCTCGAAATGAGACATTGCTTTTAGTGATTCCCCTGGACTTTCATTCAACTTGCAGTGGGGCGTCCTTCGCATGTAGTGATTATGATTTGTTTCCAGACTTTTGTTTGCGGTGTATGCCACTGTGTTCAAAACTTTGCTTCATTCGTTGATTTCTTAAATTGATAAATGCGTAGCCTGGGGCCCTTACTGTTTAATGAGTTTTGAAGTGCGTTCATATACAAGTGAGAAACCATTTCATTACTTGATTTTGAAGTAAAACCCCGGGACGTCATGCAACAGTTTGTTTTGACAAAGTCTGCGTCATTATAATGCATAGTATTTTCCGGTTTGTTTAGTCTGGTATTGGAATGTCTGAGTCTTTAGATATTTTAGCAAAACGGCCCTAAACCATGGTCAACTAGCACGCAGTTCGTGTTATTTAATTTTCTGTCCTAGGTGAGTCACCACCCTCCAGTGGCCGCTTTCCACTGCGAGAGCGATCTCTGGTACACCTGGTTTGATTTTTCAATCTCAACCAAATTTCGTGGTCGGTATCTGCAAATTAAAGTTAATGGTGTGTGCCACCTTGTCTTCCGAAAGACAGGATATCACTATACATGGACCAAGATCCCGCTCACCGTTCACAACATAATCGTGGGCAAGCTGTGGATCGAGAATAGCGGTGAAATCGATATAACCAACCACAAAACCGGGGATAAATGCCATCTCACTTTCAAGCCCTACTCTTACTTCTCAAGCGACATACCTAGACGTGTAAGTTTCACCATTCATATACGGCTTGTTGAATTGTCCTTTTGCATCATTCACACAGTAACCAACCTCACTAATGTTTTCGTATATTTTTATGTAGGCATTTGATTAGTTTTGATGACATCGAGACAATGCCCGAAGTCACCTTTTCGGAAACTGTACTAAATGTGTCTAACTTTAAAAGTGCATCTTATTTGGTTCCACTAACCCCTGCCACGAAATGTATTATTTACTTGCAGTAGGTTTATCGAATGCACAAGTAAACTGCGCGACAATTTGCGTCCTAGTGGGGTGGATCGGTTGCAGGTGTCACACACAAATGCGTTCGATTCCTTTCTCTGCAGGTGACAGGAGCAGTGAGCGATAAGGCTGGCAAGGTACATGGCATCGTCAACGGTACGTGGGACGAGTTTATAGAGTACGCACCAGTAGTTACTAATACGCCTTCAACTTGTGGTGAGAAGCCCGTCCTAGAGACTGGTGCACCTGTTCAACTTTGGCGCGTTTCACCGCTTCCACCAGAAGCCGAGAAGATGTACAATTTCACTCAGTTTGCCATCCAGCTGAACGATTCACCGCAGAATGAGCCTAATCTGTGCCCTACGGATAGTCGGCTGCGTCCAGATCAGCGGCTCATGGAGGAAGGACGCTGGGATGAGGCAAACATAGAGAAGGTCAGGCTGGAAGACAAACAGCGCCTCCGCAGGCGACAAATGGCGCTTAAATTGATGAAGAGCGATTCTCCAGACGAAGACAATCCCACCAACGCCGCGTCTAGCACAGTTAATACTACCGTGCCACCATCACTCATGGGTAAGTGAGTAGTAAAGATCAAGCCGATGATAAGAGCCTCTGAGACTGAACACGCACCGCTACTACTGCCTCCCGCTATTTTCAGGCTTTCAATCCTTTCTTTCTAGATACACTTGATCAGATGCACGAGCCGCTGTGGTTCAAAAAAGAAATAGACCCCGACACTGGGCTCCAAACCTTGAAGTTTACAGGTAAATACTGGGAATGCAAGAAGAAAAACGACTGGTCCGCCTGCCCCGATCTCTACTAATTTCACATTCGGCACCGAAGTAATCCGCTTACCCAAGAATCCTTCATTTGGTCACCAATATTTTTCCGTCGATCGTCTGCGTTTTTATTCGCGCTGCTATTTACGCTTTCTTAATTTTTTGTTGAGGAATATTTTAAAATGATGAGTATCGAATTGTAACCCACCATGCTTATTGTAAAGCGAAAGAGGGTTCTACTCAATTACTTTTAGAAGTTCAACATTAATGCTAATCCTCATCCCTCAAAAACAAATCGAGAGAAGTCGGTGGTACTAGAATTGTATCAATTATCATAATAATCAAAATTTTCGGGAACGCGGAATTGTTTAAGAAGCGTCGATTCATCAACACCAAACTTTTCCTTCGCCCAGCAGGTCACTTGAAAGATGTTGTCTGCAAGTGGATGAATTAAAATTATCGGTGATTAATGCAATAAGTAGAATTAGTCTAAGGCCTTTACCTGTCCAGCGGTTAGCGGATTCGGTTGCAGTTTTTGTTTGCGACTGTACAGCATGAAGACGATCTGGGTGATATTTCTGAAGTTGTGAGAGCTCATTATTAAGCTCCTGCAGAAGTGATTCATTGGCACCTAACGTGGATATGGTTTCTACTCGATCAACCTAGAAACGTCACTGGAGGTGGGCGTACTCACAGTATCCTCCTTGCCTACTTTAGCCTCGCTAAGTGCTCTTAGGACGCTTTGGAGGCGGGACTCGGTTTGCGATAATTCATTTCGAAGATCTTCAATTTTTTTACGACGCTGATTTTCTTATAAGTAATAAGCGTTGACCTACGTTTTGTCCAGCTTTACTAGGAAAAGCCCAGAAGTAAACTGATGTACCGATTTTGTCGGTGTCGACTATGCCGTCGTAAACAAGACTCATCAGCACGTCCTTGACTGTCATGGACGGTATTCCTTTTTCCTTTGGACACAGTCTCTCGAGTTCCTTCAGGGTGAAAAAATCTTTCTTTTATTAAGTAATAACGTGTAGGTTCGAGCAAACCTTTTCGTGAAAAAATTCAGTCATCTTCTCGCGTTTCTCTTCCAATGATAATCCACGTTTCTTCGACATTAGATCAGAGAAAATCGAGTGTAGATAAAAATCACACTAATGGAACGACCTAAAAGGGCCTAATACTCAATAAACAAAATTAATAAGAGCCACGAGTCAATTATCCTAGTTGCAAAAGCATCAATTCGTCAACAATGTGCGAAAACGCCCAAGCTATGTTGGTGATGATGATTCTGTGTCAGAAATAACGGAATTAAATACATTTAAAAAAAAACAAATTCATTACCTTAAAGTGTTAAGACTATTTGGAGTTACACTTCTACCAAACTGGAAGTTATCATACAATAAGTAATTGATACAAAAAGTGGGCTCGACCAGCAGGCACGTCGCAAAACTTAACCAAACAAATTCGTCAAGAGCACAGCGAATGATGCAAGATATAAATGATGCAGTATAACGTGAAAAGCGTTGCAGGTAGGAATTTTTGGTGATCTTATAGTATGGAGCTAAAAAAATTAATTTTACCTTGGGAGTGTTTTAAGGAGCACCAAATTGCTTTGCATTCCTTTATCAGAGAGTCTATCTTGTGCAGTCACAAGATAGGCTAATTTGAATGCATGCGTGCTACATTAGAAGCACACTTGTTGAATAGTATTCACAAGTACAGGTGTAAAATCTACCTTTGAAGAATTACATGGGATTAGAAATGGTGCCTTTTTACCTGGCAGGATTGCTTGAAGTTTTTAAAATCCATTCCTGGTGGTCGTGTATTAGGAACCTTTTTTAAAGTACCTTTTTTCAGCATGCAAATACAATTGCTCTTAATTATTTTTGGCATTGAAAATGGGGAAATGTGGTAATTTCTGAATGCCAAGTTACCAAATGGGGAAGAATGGTGCACATAAGAACAGAGATACTAAAACGTCGAGTGATATATAGGTTGGTTGCACAGGGCACATAATAGTGCGTGAAAAGAGTGGGTTACATTTGGGAAGGAAATTTAACTAGTCATGTAAATTACGGACATATACTAATAACGAAACACAAGATAATCTGGGTTTTGAAAAAGATGGATCCGATACTAATGTAAGGCATGGTTGCCGCATGTTGGCTGCCTCAGTTTTATTCCTGCTGCGTCATTTAATATAAAAAATTGGGTATCATGGCTAACTTATATGTCGGGTTTTTGCAAGATGATTATCCAATGATTGGAAATTAAAGAAAAGTAAAAAACTAGCAAATTATGTCCCCGAAATGCCGAACGAATGCTTAAATGCCAATGTTACCATTCGTATGAAAAGAGCCAAACTCAGAATAAAAGGAATTTTATTCAGTTCGCAAGAATAGTTTGTTCCATGATTAAAACCATTTTATTTGCGTACTGTGTAGTCAGAGAAATCAAACTTCTACAAGAAGATTCAAGCATAAAATATTACTTATATGAATTTTGGGCCAATACCAATTCAGATTTTAAAAAAATATCTTTTCTTTACCCATTCTGTTCCTCCATTTGCATTTGTCCAAAATTTAATACATTGCATGCTAAAAAATTATTTTGTATACGGTCTTAATTATCATGCGTCCTTAAAATAACTGACGTTTAAATGCCCCCGGTTTTGCAGGCGCGCGATTCTTTCACTTCTTTCTGACGTGATCTGCAAGGCTTAATGGCTCGGAATCAGAAGAAAGTTCGTCGCGCTGCACGTAAGGATACTGCGACGCGCGAGTACACAATTAATCTACATAGACGTATTCATGGCGTTGGTTTTAAAAGGCGGGCTCCCCGTGCCATTAAGGAGGTCCGCAAGTTCGCCAAAAAAATGATGGGTACTGAAGATGTTCGAGTTAATGTTAGACTAAACGAGTAAGTAACTCTATGGTGCATGATTTATCTTGTTAGATTCCTGTGGTCTAAGGGCGTGCGGAATGTTCCCTACCGAGTTCGTGTTAAATTGTCAAGAAAACGTAACGAGGATGAGGACAGCCCTCACAAATTTTACACCCTTGTATCCTACGTCCCTTGTACTGATTTCAAGGGTAAACAGAACATAAACGTTGAGCCTGAGAAGTGATTTTTGTGAATAAATTGTCCTATACTGGAGGTCGTTGTTGTTAATATGCCCATCGTGTGTTGGTGCACGTAACACTAGAGATCTGGTTATTTTCCGTAGTTTTCGCTAATGGATTAAGTAGCCTTCGGCTCCTATACGGATAGTTTTGGTTACAAACAGAATTCCTTTGCTCAGGTTTTATTTGATGGAATCACTAGTGTCTTATTTCTCTGCTAGCCGTCCGCTATTTGCTCCCCTTATACGGTGTTCGATACTGAAGTAAATCGTGCTTTAGGCTGCTGTAGTACGCGCTGGCTTATTGGTATTCCATCTATTATCTGGGAACGTGTGGGGAGGCGATTTTGTATCACCACACTAATGGTTTGGGTTGGTGGTTTGGTCCGTAGCAATAATGTGTTCTCAATGTCATGCTTTGCATATGTTGTTGGTCATGCAAGTATTACATACCCGGATTTCACACAGGCAGGCCTTACACAATTGTGCACTTTATCAAGTGGCTTCGTTTCCTCCATTTGGGCACTAGGTTGCCGTTTAACCTGTGCAATCAATTGTTCCCTCGTTAAATAGCAATGGACGTTAGTGTGGCTCCGACTGTTGAACTCAGTTAGCAAATCGGGAACCCCTTCAATTAAGTTTTAGATCGCCTGAGATGTTCGCAAATTTGTTGGTTTGGGATAAATCGGACCTTTCTTTCCTTCTTCCCGAAGTTTTTTTTTGTTGGTTATCAGGGGATTTGTATCAAAATCTTTCAACACGCCGGATAGCACTTTCAGACGAATTTATCTGGGGCATGTACTTCTATCGTAATTTTGTGCCTCCAAAGACTTTCTAGTTAGTGACTGCGAAGTCGAGGGAATAAGTCAAGCATTGCGTTTTGTATTCCCTGGTAGTGATGCAAAATATTTATGCGCATTTAAGCAAATGGGGGACTTTCTCTACGATTGATGGTTCTGACGTTCTTCATCGCTTTGCAAAAACTAGCTTGTTTGTGGACTTGATCATTTATTTAATGGAGTTTGAGCCGAAGTATTTGCGATGCGGTCTTGGATGCACTTTTAAGTCACTGCAACTTGTTCTACTTCTTTGTGTTAAAATCGTCTTTTTTCTGAGTCCCCACCGTGTATTGGTTTGTGGATTCAATATATTTCTAAATGTCTACTTTTGGTTGGATTTTTCGCAAATGGAGATTTGTGGGCTGTGTGAATAGCACAGGCAGACATGTATTCACGTTGGTTGCTATTTAACATTGATAAGTCTCCATTGATCGTATGCGATAACAGCCCGAGTTAGTTAAAATGGCTTTTGTCGGCTGCTGCCAGATAAGTACATGAATTGCTTTCGTCAGTGGAAAAACTGCTAAAGGAGTTTCCTAATGCATATTTGTTTTTGGTCAACTTTCCGAATATATAAGCGAACTCTCTGAAAAGCCTCTTGCTCATTGACAATACCAGACCGCAGAATTCGATCGAGATGAGGTCCAAATCTGATTATTTTATAGTGAGCTCTCGTATCAGATTGCTGCCTATCGTCTTGTGCCTGACAGGATGATTATTTGGAATTAGGTTGGTTCCTTTGAATGGGACTCTTTCTAGCATAAGCGCTTTGCTTTCAGGTGATTGGAGCTTGAATGCCGTCGAGGAAAAGGCGCTGCGACTGTAAGGTAAGAATGATTACCGTGCATTAATTCGGTTCCCTGTGCTTCCGTGAATCGTTTTAAATTTTTTTGTCTCCCTAATTCAAAAATCCATGGGTTACACAAACGTTTTCTAGATTGTTGAACTAGCTCGCTCTTTTGCCTTAGTCATTGGCGACATTATCTTGTGAATTACTACTTAGAAAGGGATGCGGTGCCAACTTATTTAAACACAAGCACTTCAACTACATAACCTTGAACGTAAAACCATAAAAGCAATGCAAGTTTCGGTGGGGTGTTTTGTTGGGATTGGATTGGGGTACTTTGTTAACTAAAAGTCCTAGGTATATGCAGAACGCCCCCTTTTACGATATCTTACACGGAGAAATTTCCGTGCATATTCCTGTTCCGCAGGAAACACTCAGTAATGCCTGGCTTTTCCTAACCTTTCATGGTGGCTCAACCAGCTACTACTGTGGAATGTAATATGGCTTAGTGTACATGTTTTATGACTCAAAGCTTATGGAGTTGAAGCACATGCCCAAATGGCGACATAGTTGGGTCATCCGCCAGACTAAAAGTTCATCGAGTTAGATTCGGCGATGAATGCGTTGATTGGGCCCCAACGAGATGCACCAATTTATTTACACCCACTCTCGTTTGCCTATACTTGCTTCATTTGACCGTTAACCTTGTAGCAATTGTCAGCATTATTGTGTTTAGCTGTAGGTATCATATTTCATTAGTGAGAACAAGGATTTCCCGTTGATGGAAATTTCAGGGAAGATTATTTGCATTCTAGTATTGACTTTTTGAGAAGTCCTTCGCACTTTCCAACCCCGACTCGAGCTTGCAAAGTGCCGCAGGGGTGGTGCGGAAGTGTGGTATAAGTCCACTGACTGGGGAGTACGTGCAGAAGCACCTTGTTGCCTTGCTAATACCTTGATGAGAGGTCACCCTTTTTAGGCGTGCCTGTTTCGCAGTATATAAATATGCAAATCAGCTGAGCTGGTGGACTAAAGATGTTCCTTCCAGAGGTTCACAATTTGCCAAATATTTGCTGTTTAAATTTGACTTCGTTTTAATCCACGCTATTTTAGCCACAATCGCGGAGCAATTTCAAGTCAATTCGGGTTGACGATCGGCCCTTTACGCCATCGGTGAGCGTCTCCATTTAAAAAAGCACGTTTTATAAAGCTTAAAACCCGATTTATTTCTTGGCGTTGGGTAAAATATAAAATCAGTTTCGCTTGATATGCTAGAAATTTTATTATGATTGCTTTAAGCTGTGTTTATTTCATGCAAAATGACTAGTATAATTTCCTATTTTTCAGCTATTTGACAAACTTCCAACACTTGTGCTGCGCAAAATCGCTATATTCTTGGATTATCCTAGTTGGTACACCATCCAGAGTATTTATGTCGCTTGGAGGGCACATCCACCTAGTTTATTGACCCTCTCGGATTCCAATTGTTCTGAGCATGTTTGGAACTGTCCTGATTTCCCACTACCTCAGTGCCAATTTACTACTATATGCACTGATGCCTTCTATGGTGGACTCGTGGAATCAAACGGTGCTTGCGGGCTCCTCCTTAGGACTCTCGCGCGACGTCACAGTTTTTGCTCGCGCTTAACCAGCATTGACTTAACTGGACAGTGTCAGAGACCTGCACAGGTGTCGTCTCTCCTTTCACCAAAGACCGCTCCCTGGTTTCCTTGTCTCAAATTCGCAGCCTTTCGTCTAGCAGTGAGCCGGATAGATGGACTACCATCGGATCCCATAGTGGAGGCAAAGGCGCCTATCCAACTAGAGGAACTACAGTTGCATTTGGCATGTTGCTTCCACTGCAAAGAAGACGCCTTTGACGGATTGCACCCCCTCCTAAAAAAAGTGAAACGTCTTTCATGGGTTGTAGCCGACACGGCTAAGTTCATTTTCGTTGACCGTTTTCCATGGCCCCTTGTCGAACTCGTGTCTCTAGAAGCGTCGTTTCTCACAATGCGCCATCTCCTTGAGATACAATCTGACAAAGAAGATAACTTCGAGAGCATAATGCCAAACCTTGCTTGGGTGACTATTCATTCGCCCTTCGGGATTTCAACTCATGCAGCAGGCAGAAATCTCGTCACTGTTACAGGGTCACTATCTAGTCTTTTCAAGGAGATGGATTCACAGTGTGCTCCAATGCGAAAAGTAGTTTGGGGGTCTTCTAGGCCTATCAATATGAAGCGAGAAGGTCTTCTTTCGGTAGAAGAAGTAACATATAGCACATCAAATATGAGAATCTCCTCATGTGATTTGTGTGTTTTGGAAAAATTGGTTCGTTTGAATACCTTCGTTCTGCGATCTTGTTCTGCGACCGTGGGGGTTGAAACATTCTTCGAACTCTTTTCCCTTCTTCAAAATTTCCCTCTCCTCGTTCGTCTTACTTTGCCAAAGGAATTGCTCATGGCTTGGTCAAATGACAAAAGTGTTCGCGATGGTATGGTAACCATAGCAAGTAGATATAGTTTTCCCTCGCTTCGTCGCCTACACTTTGCGTCGAATGACAAGTTTTCAAACTTAAATCTCGTGACATCTGTTCCTATTTCTGGTAGCGAGTCCTGTGACGGCGTGCTCCTACCCATTTTTCGAATATTTCCTAATGTTGAGACCCTGATTATTGGCCCAGTGCCGTATTTTCGTGGGGGCTCAAACTTGCTTGACCTCACAAACTTCTCACAACTTAAAAAATTGTTCATTATGCATTCTCGCAGCCTCCCTTACGACCACCACCAACGGCGTTTGGCTCTTTCAAAGTGGCTGCCGTATTGCAAGACACTGGAAGTGTTCCTATTGTACACGCAAAATTTCAACTGGATGGAGGAGCGTACAGATGGAGGTCTTTTGGATTGTCTGCAAAAAAACTCCAGCTTGCGCTATGTGTGTGTAGTATCTGAAGCCTCTAACTGCTCTTCAGCAATGTCTGTAACAAGGTCGGACATCGAGCGGTTGTTGAAAGGTTGGAGTTGCAGGAAGGGGCCTCTGGGGAAGTACATTCTCTTCATTTCTCACGAAGACCGTGGTATCTCTTGTCTAGGAGCTGTACCAAATTCCAAAGCCCGTAGAAGATTTCGGATTACAGAGCGTTTTGAAGTTCCTCGTTGGCTTGACCTCGTTGCGAGGTTTCCGGAACTCTTTTCGGTATTTTGGCAAGACCTCGCGTCTGAGGTCGATTTTGGTATCCCAGCATAATAGATTGTACTCTTTTCGTGAACTAATTTCATCATCAAATTTAAAACATTCCTTATAGCTGTTACTTAATTATTTTTAATATTCCAACATCCATGTCTATTATTGTAAATTCCGCACATTATGTACCAAAAATGCATTTATGATTTTGCATGCACTAAAAATCGGCTACTTTGCCTGTTTTCCTAATTAAGCTTAAAACAGCACCAATGATTGCAGAGGAAAGCTCTACTTTTCCACAAACTTATGCACTGTGGCTAATAGATGCAAGCGCCAAGGGACTCGATGGCTGCTGCATATTCCCTCCTATAAAATCTACCCCAATGAAATGTGATTGCATTCTCAAAATTAATATTGCTAGATTTTAGTGCTTGAATAGCGAAGTTCTCTTTGAGCCAGTTCAGCATACCCTGCAAATTTGTCCATTTCAGAAAATAATTCACGGAAACTATTTATTAGTAAGTTGGAGTGAATTATTCAGGGACCTAAAAGCTGGGTAATGTGTTCAGTTCTCAAATTAAGTGCAGGGTTCACAAATCATGTTACGCGTTGTAAAATACTAAAAAAAATATAGGTCACAAAAAGAAAGCAGTCAGAGAATTAAATAGAAAAGCGTGACCTCCGTTAGCGAAGTAACTAATAACATTCGTTGTCTGGACACTTACCTGTGGCGCGACCGAAAATTAAAAGCATTCATTCATCCAGAAGAGGATTGCACATGGCCTATAGGTGTCTACAGTACAGCAGTGAGTTGAATGGTGCACAACTCCCCAAACAGCGATTTAATTAATTAAAATTAACTGGATATCCGACCACGAACATTTAAAGCAGGAGCCTCCACAATTAACACTACGGAATCTTTCGGCATTTCTGCGGTCATAATCTCCAGATTTATTTCATAAACAGTTCAGCGCACTGAATAACTAACCTTGGCCTTGACTTCTATCTACCTCTACAAATGTCACAACAAGTCCAATCGTGGAAATCAGATCCAAACGCAAACTCAATACCAATGTCCTACAAACGACATTCGCAAGGAAACCACACTCGCGCAGTCCCTTTGGCCCAGCCACCTTCGACAGTATTGCTTATATCTTCACAATCAAACCTGTTTTTGATGTGACTGATGATCACAGTCATTACTCTGGTGTACGTGCACAGTATAATGACAACTCTGTTAAACAATAACAGAAAGTGATGAGCACACGACCGAGTTTGACCTCCCTCTACATCGAAGCACAAGCAGCAGCTGCTGCAGCTGTACTCGCATCTCTACTGATCCCACCGATTGACACACACACAACGCTAAGTGCGAATCGCATTACCAGGTTGCTGGGGATCCACGATACCCCATGATTGCTCAACGCTGGTCTTCAGCACTATTAACACTAATTCCCCAACATTTTATTACGCTTTTTATCAGATCAAGGTCAACCTTGACTTGAAGTAGTTTCACTTTTGAAAACTCACTCGCGCGTCGCTCACAGGATTAAAGCTCTCCACATGAGCTATGGTCTTGTTCTTGTATTAGCGTTGGAAGGTTGGTGCTATCGTCAACAAGGGATCTGGTACCCTTATTTGAGTGGTTTTCTGTTGGGGATTCACGATTCCCCAAGATTGGTTTCTGATTCTATTTATATTAATTTATTAACATTTGTTTTGTTACGCTTTTATCAAGTCAAGGTTGGCCTTGACTTGAATTACTTTCGATTGTACTTCTTCTCTGCACGTGGCTGACGTGAATAAAGCTCTCTACTCGAGCTCTGGTCTTGTTCTTGTATTAGCCTGGGAAGGTCGGTTCTAGCTTTAGCAAGGGATCTGGTACCCTTATTTGAGTGGTCTTCTCTTTCGTTACGGGCAAACGTAACACTTTCACTTTATTATGGAAAACGCAACAGCTTATGGAGGCAGGTTATATGTCGTCTAGCTATGGCTATTCTCATCAACATTTTCGGTGATTTCTACTCTCAACTACACACCAGCAACCATCACTTCCAGCTACTTTCAAACCTCAGGAATGCGCTTGCCCGAAGGCTGCTAATTTTTTTAGTAATTACACACAAATTCATTATTGGTGCTTCCAGTGGTCAAACTCGAAAAACATGCATTCAAATTAATTACACGAGGAATAGCACTCGAAAAGCACATTGACCCTATAAAGTGTCACCGTGAACACGTGCATTCAAAAACCAATACTTTCGGCAACGCATGTCGCGTGGTAAGGTGGCTTGCTCTAATGCCAACACCAAATCAGGTCCAACATGGACACGAAAAGCACATCACGAAATTACTGACCCACTTCACTCACGGCTGCTTTGATCCCTCCACCTAATAGCACCCTACGCATTTGTCACATCTCTGCAGCCCCCTGCAGCAAAAGCTCTGTCCACCTCCAAAAGCTCCCAAAACCAATCATGCACAACTCCTTATTTGCAAGACCGCGTGCTCAATCCACACACATGACCCACCACCCCAATCACG